AGGTTAACCCCTGGATTTCTGGGATGTCATTGTAGAGGTGTCATTTTTGTAAAAGTAGCAATTCCCTTCATTTATACTTTGGGGTATAACCAACTCAGGTCCCCTATAAATACGCCCTTGACCAACTACATTTTATTCTTCTCACTTTAAGACAACATAATCAATATAGAATATACCTTTAAACAATACTTAACCTTTTGAAATATCTTTTTATAGGAAATGTGATAGGCCAGATTGCTCAGATGTGTTCCAAGAATTCCATATTTTCCATGGCTGCGGACATTCCTTTCACACAAGCTGTCTAAATTCTGGAAAAATGGTATGCTTGATTTGCTCAAAAGAACTTGCAAATTCGATGAAGGTGCTCTCCGAGAAAGCTTGCGATGGACTACGCCATCATGAAGATGACGATGACGGTATTGTTGCCAATGAAATTGATGCCAACTGTGGTGACGATGAGGATGAGGAGAGTGGAGTTGAGGAATTAGAGAAACAAGAGCCTCGCATCAGCTGTACACTTCTTCGATTAAAGCAGCAAATCTTCAGCTGGGGCCTTATTCCCGGCCCAAAATGAAAGGGAACACACACATAGTAGTTGTGCCATCGACGAATAAAACGGTTTTTTTAAAAACCACCATCAATGCCGATTAGACAATATCCACGTCAACACACACGATAATATAGTGTAAACAAGCCGTAAAAAGCCACAACCGCACTTATTGAATCCCACTAATTATGATCAAAGCGAGTACACTGAACACACACCAAACAGCATGCTTGCGCGCATCATATGGTCTCTCCTCCCTAATTGGGGGGATCATTTGGGAAAAAATTTACTGAGCACAAAGGAAAGTTATCAGACACTCGATTTTTAAAATCATAGATCATTTTCAACACTCTTTAGACGATTAATTTTTTTCTGGGGAATCGTAAAAACGTGCAAATACACTTTACACGATTGATCTTTTTCTTTGCAATCGTAAAAACGTGTAAATAAGGCCCAAGTCAAGATTCGAGGCACGTTTCCCGCCCTTTTTTATCATCGCGTCAGCTTCTGCATTGCGATAGCCTTTTCAGCAGTGGACTGGCAGTGGACATGAGTTTCTCGTTGGTTTTACAAGTATTTAAAAGAAATATATGAAGTAACTGAGTGCAAAAAGTAATTATGAAGAAGTTGAAAATAAGTTTAAGCGGATTACATTAGTTGAGATGCTGATGCTAATACGATTTTACGAGATAGAAGAGCTGCATATTGTTTTGGTAAAATGTAGCGTTTTTCCACGTAAGTTTCATAGACATTCATGCCGATATGCAAAGATATTGCCATGTATTTGTTATGGTGAGTTCTAATTTGTTGATTACGTAGATAAAATAGATTTTAACATTCAAGCAGTGTGAATTTTCAAACTTCTTTCGCTGTCATTGGGGGGATGGTGAACTGCTAACTTCAAGCCTTCGTAACTGACGATCGCGGAAAATTTTTAACTGAGTACAACGGCAGTTTTTTTCTAAATTTACCAAAGACTAAATTTTTAAAAAAAAATTTAGGTTATCTTGCAACAAATTTTACACGTTTATTTTTTTGTGGGTAGTGGTAAAAACGTCCAAAATAGGCCTAAATCTAGCTGCGAGGCACGTTTGTTGTCGTATTCTTGAATTCTGATTGGCTAAAGGGCTATGGAGAATTTGAATGTAATCAGAACTCTTAGCCAATCAAAGATTTGGAACCTATGCTGTGCCATATGGTAATGAAAATGATAAAAATAATAATTTCGCTACTGTATCAAGTTTTTATATGACGACAGATTTTTCGTTCTCTTTCTGTTAAAGTTGAGCCAAAAGGGCCTTCATTACGAAGTTGAGCCAAAACGGCCTTCTGACAGCCCAGAGTGAATACTCTTAGTGAACCATTTGATCCGGTCGCATTCGGCTCCCTTTCACTTGCATCGCTTAATTCGATATTGGTTTTTATCTACACCAGTTATTTTCGAAAGTCTTTCTTAACAAACGAAGCGAATTTAATCAAAACGATATTCTAGAACAATGTAATATGTTTCGCGATATGGAAAACCAGAATTTAAGGAAGTACTAAATCATCACCTAGTTTTCCATCAAGTTTATCACTTACAAATATTCTCACTTAATTTTAGATAGATTGTTCGGATTTATACTAGCAGATGCTCAGATGTCAAAATACTAGAGAATTTTCCAGGCTGTTTAAATCAAAATGCATACTGTGTTTTTGGACGTTCATACAAGAGGTGTGGTTTATTTTGCGGAAATTGACTGCAACCCAGGGCCGTGTACTTTAATCGGCTTAATATCTGAGTATCCAAACTATATCGTTGCCGAGACCCTACCAAACTTTCAAAAATTTGATCGTAAGTTCGGAAATCGCTGTTGTTGCCTTTAAATGCAATAAAGAAAGGCTTGCTTTATTGCGTTTAAACGAAATAAAAGAGAAGGGAACGTGATGAAGGCTCGGATGGTGGAAAAATTGGTAGCAGGACAATTAAAAAGAATAAAGAATACACGAATCAAAAAGGAAAAAGTAAAGGCTTAAATAAGATTAATCTGCGAAAAATATTTCACCCTCGTTAAATTACTTCATCTTTCATGGTTTCTTCCAATTTGTCTATACTATTTCTTTGTATGGAGTAGTATAGCTTAATTTTTTTCATGAGAACTTTAGAAAAAATGGTACTGACTTACCGATGAATTATTTGGCGTTCTTATCCTTCCGATTGCTTCTGTTGTTTTGTTTTCTTGATTTCAGTGGCAGCGGTTTGATGTTTCTCCCTTCTGTTCTTTGCGAGAAATGTTTTGATTCTATCGCTGATGTTTACTGTCTGAGTTTTAGATAAAGTCTGCAGCAGACGTTTTTATACAGAAGTCTAAATTAAGTATCCCCCTGACTGCTGAACGCTTAGTGTGTACAGTGTGTAGAAAAATTCAGGCAGAGGACGCTGTTGAATGTCATAGATCTGAAGGAGATCGGTTACTCGTGTACATATAGTTTTTCAGGGGGTCCTATCTACTATTTGTCATCATTATAGAGGAGGTTTCAATCTCTAATTTTAGCTTATTAACGAAATAAGTTGGACTCAAGCCTAATTTTTTTCATCTTAAAATGGAAACATTATTTAATTTAAACAAAGGAATCTCTTTCTCTAAGCTGATTCGTCTTTTTTCTTTAATTTGATTTCGCAATCTCTCCAAACAATGTTTCTTTCTACCCGCGACTTAAAATAGATTATTTAAGCTTTGTTTAATATCTTAGATTTTCATTTGACTAAGTTAGCCGATAATTGGCTATCTTCCAATATCTGATTTTCTGCAAGATGTTTGTTTTGTCTTTATTACAACTTATGTGCCACCCATCCTACTTGAAACAAAGTATCATAAATGTTTGCGTTTGGTTTAGTTTCTTCCCGCCTTTGTTTCGAGATTAAGCTGCAGGACCCGTCGATAAACTTTACTTTGCCAGTGCCTGCCCTCTTAAGCAAATATTCTAGAAGTGAATAATGTCAAGTTAATTATTGCAAACCGATTGCAAATCAATGCATAAATACATTCGCTTTTTTAGACTTCCGTTTACAAGAGGATTTTGTAATTTTTATCTGCAAAAAAAGACTTATTTTTTTGACTTGATAGTGATTTTCTATTTAGCATTTATGTTTGATTTATCGTGTAAAGTTTCTAGGGCCCAAATTTCCAACAGTTCCGCTACTGGGTTTATCTTTTCTAAACTTTGACAAAATTCCTTCCGTTCATAAGAGGTGAAAGATGAAAATGACGTCATCAGTCGTCAGTACTAAAGATATGCCTATTTTTAAAAGAATGCGTGCCTTGAAACAAACCACTTTCTCGAGCCAAGTTGCTTTCAGAGATTTTAGTTTCTAAAACACGTGGAAGAGGAAAAATTTGTTGCCATATTTTTTTTACTTGTTTAGAGGTATAGTTGCTTATTATTGCCTACAATCTTCATAAAGTTCTTCTGACTCAAGTTACGTTTTATAGCGTCATCAAGTACGGCCATTTTAAACTTATTTCGTATCATAAGAAGAAAGTGCGGTGACTTTTTGATAGACGATGAGAACGACGAATGTTTTTTGAGACTGATATTTCTGTTAGCTTGGGAGAAAGACTGTTCGAAACCGTTTTGCAGGTTTGCTCATGTTTAAATATTGTAACCTTTCGGTTCGTTTTATTTTGCAATGGGAATACAGATTCAGAGGTCATTTATTTCTGTCCCTTTAATCAATTTACATTGCACATGCGCAGTTAATGCAAACATTTTCGGCGCGACAAACGTTTGGACAACTCTTATTTTTGTACCAAGAAATTGTCAGACAAATATTTGACAAATAAATTTTGCATGCAGAAAATATTTTAACAGGGAAGCTATCTCAAACAAAGAAGGAAGTTGTATCGTTAAAATCGTTTTAGGTTGTTTTGAGCTCTTTAACATCTTTTTGGGTGAAGTACGAAATTATTTAGCAAAATTAGGAAATTATGTTCAAGCTATTGTGAACGAGTTTGTATGAGGCTGTTCCGATAAAAGGGATTATTTTTGTTTCTTTCTATAAATTGCTGCTTTTTTCAGGAAGGGGTTTCAGTTTTAATCCGACTCCATCTTATTTCAGTGCTTTTGTTTTCTTTCTTTTTCCTCTCGTACAAAATTCTCTCGTACCTAACATGACTAATTCATGCCCCTACGATGATAAGATTTCTCCACTTTTTTTCTCAACACTCTGCTAGGGTATAAAATAGGCTGCAAATAGTCCAGGTTTCGTGTTTCATTTATTAGAAAATCTATTAGCCTTTGTTTTTAGGCGACTTGTGCAAGCTTGGTTGTCTGTAATGGCGTTTTATATTCTAAAACTTTTAGGCTCCAAGTTTATTTCGTGCTTGAGAGAGGAGTATTTGTTTTCTTCCTGTGGACTTCTGCAAAGGACACCCTGTGTGTGATCCTGACTGGTTAGTGGAGTCCCAATATCACGCCCTATGGAATCTTTTGCGTTGCCTTTCAATTATGCAACGAGGGGTTTTTGCTAATTCTTAGCCCAAATCTATTCATATCTGGTAAGAATTTTTTTAGCGTATTTAGATTTAAATTCCCCTTTAGATATGTAGTTCAGTGCTCCATTCATCACATGTTACCTCCACCTTCTATTTAATATCTAAAGTGCGGTTGGTTTCATGTTTCTACGAGCATTTAGATCAACATTTCCATGTTACCAAATCGTTTGTTGCTAGAATTCTGTCTCGATATTTTCATCAACTACTTGCTCTGTTCCTTGGGCATAAAGGTCAACAGCCTGCAGAAAGCTACGACCAGATTCACCCATTTGCGGCCTAAAAACTTAGTAGTATCTTTCCTTTGGGCACACAATTATTAAAGAAACTCTGCTTATCGCAGTCTGCAGCCCTTTATCAGGTTTCACGAAAATTCTTTCTAGAAAATAGTATTGACTTGATAAACATATTGTTATAACGGTGAATAAGAGTAATGCAACCTCTTATGGTCTATTGATCTGTGAGAGTAGAAACAAATCATTTCACAATTTTTAGGCAAATTTTCAAAATGAATAGTGGAATTCAAACCATTAAGTTTAAACCAGAACTAGCCCATTGCAAAACGATTAGTTTGAAACTATCAATTGTCCAATTGGGTTAAATGACTGCCCTTCTTCAAAGCACCTAGTTCATGTTAAGCTATCGCTATCAAAATTTTTAAAGCTTATGACGTCAGTTGTTCCTAGTTCCCCAAATGGTTGTATGGAAGCTTTTAAGCACGTTGGTACTTGAGAAACTTTTACAGAAAAATTTAAAGGAATTTGTTTCAAAATTAAGACTTCATCCTTTTGTGTTCATTTTAAAACAGACATTGTAATTTTTCTTTCATCTATTTCGTTTTCTATTGGCCATTGCTTCTAAGCCGTGGGAACATAGCCCTTCTACACTCTACCGGTAATAAAAAGTGGAGTCCCTTCACAATATACCGGTTGAGATTTTCCTTCCAATATATGATGGGATTGGAAGTCTGCCAATAACCTATAATTGCATTCACCCCTCTTTCGCCTTCAATAACACCCCCGTTTATTACTGCTGTGTCGGCTGTTTACAGGCCTAGGTCAAGCAACCTCAATCCAATCATTTGTGGTGCCCATTGCGTTACCATGGTTATAGAAAGAATTGCGTCTGACATAGCCAATTACTGTTTGTGTCCTTCACAGGGTAATAACACACATGGTGTTAGCCTTTGAAAGAAAATTACAAATGTATTAATAACATTATTTGCTAATCCAAGTTATAGAATAATCATAACAAGTTTGGATATTTATAGACAACTGACTGTTTACGTGACACGGATGGCCTACAGAAAGATTTTAGCTGCCGAAACCAAAACTGATATACCACACTTGGTGTCCGTCATTTGGAGCCAAAACATGGTGGAATTAGGCCTAGATTACGCAGGATTTGGTCACTGTTACAACTGCGCGACAGAAATTCATTTTGTGACGTCATCATTTCATATTGAACATTCCCCAATATATACAGGGATAGTAATATCGTAAAGGTGTTGTGTTCTTGTCCTGGTATACATGCTAAATTTCTTGCTGCATCTTGCATCTTACATATTTACAATTTTTGCAGTCTTGTTAATCGGCTACGCATACCGTGATCTTCTTTGGACTTTGCTAAGAAAAGAGAAACAAAGGGAACCAATAGACGCCTAATCTGGAAACCTAAAAGTTGACAAAGCAAATGTATAGGTGTGCTCAGAATTATAGTATAAGTAGTACATAGAAACTAGAAGCCCTGTCTGTAGACAACTGTCCGTAGACAACTAGTCATTTTCTGCCTCGGAAAACCGTGAAATAAAACCCAATGCTTGTGAAAACAATCTTGTAACCAGAGTATTAACGGTGTCACTGATGTTTACAGCTTAATAAGAGTAAATACTATTTGTTTAGATTTGAAATTTTTAGTTTATAAGCATTGATAATGAAGCTAAGGAATATTTTGTCTGTGATCCAGAATACTGTAAACTTTGTATCTTTAGGCATTTAGAAATAAACATACAACATTGAAAGAACCATCCATTGAAAGAGGTTACTTACCGGAATGGTATGGGTCGATTTCATCAATGCTCTCAACTTCAGTTTGTTCTTTTTGATAAGCAGTTAGTTTATTACTTAGCAGCTAGGACTTGAGTTGGATAAATCTTCAGCTACTCCAAGGCCCTTACAAGAAGCTGTAAGCCAATACACCAAGACCCATAACACGAGGAATTTTCTTTTATTTTTTTCTTTCTTCATTTAAAGTTGGTTCTAATCAGAACCTGCTCTGTTCCTTGGGCATAGTTTTGATTAAGCTGCTCTGTCCCCACGCCATCCAGTCGCTCCCAGATCTTTTGCAAGGCTGCGCGGTGACAAAACGTTGGAAAATCGAGAGTCACCGGCACTATCTTAATTAGATTTATTTTCCTCCTTAAAAATCTCTTCAAAAAGCAATGCAGCGCAATACCAAGCAGTTACAAACAGAATGGGGCTTTTTGCCAATTCTGTACGTTCCGCAAAGTTTTCTAATCCATATAATTACAATAGCTGAATTCTTATGTTCATATCTCCTAGGTGCACAACGGAAGATTTAAAGTTCATCGTGCGCTTGATAAAACACGATCTCAGAATGAACACTGGGGTAAAACATGTGTAAGTGTTCTTTCTAATGTCCATATTGCTTTTAAATATAGGAAAATATTCTTGGATTCTTTTTCAATAGAATCAGCTGTTATGAATCTAACGAATCTATTTTTCTCCTTACCGTTACTCTTTCTTTAAGACTGTCCAAAATGGTGTCCCTTTCTAAGGATTTCGCGTTATCAAATTGTCAAAATGTTTCTAAAATTATGCATTCGTTTCTCCTATGATGGTGTTTGAACAGCCCGTGAAAAAGTAGGTTGTGAAATTCCTTTAAGTTTGATTAGTACTTTAAGCAATTTATGAAAAGGTTTGATGTGCAGAACAGCAATGTATGACACATGAAATTGGAAAATCTCTGTTTTTCTGGATGCCCCATTGGTTATATTTTTATATCTATCTCATGTTAAATTCTTGCTTTTATGAATCCATATAGAGTAATTTCAGGAGAACATGCTTCTAATAACAGCCCCCTCCAATTCTTATTAGCTGTTGTGATGTACTGATTCTGGTAAAGTGACATTGAAAAGGTCCCCTTTTTCTCGATGCGCGTCATATATGATATATGTATTACAGGTAAAAGGGCTTAATGACGGGGGAATAGGTTACCTAATTGGAAGAACCATCGTTACCAAATATAAAGAAGTTGACCAGTTGAGCTCACCCCGTAATTAATCTACACCTCTATTTGCATGTATTCCACGGTCCTGCCCTCTCTGATAGGTACAGATTCCTACTAATCCAAGTTTCGCTCCCTTTGAATTTGATATTTCTCTGTTAAAGATTTATTGAAATCTCTCAATAATAGTTTACATCATATAGTGATCTTATGTTTTGTTGTGTGACAAGCGACATCTCGACATGCTTTAGTTGAAATTTAACATTAACTTCGAATTTCAAGTTGTTAATAGCTATTTTCCGTTACTCACTTCAAAATGACGAGCTTGTAAAAATTCGTCGTTAATATTATTAAGACTAAGATTACAAACGATAAATTTTCTTTCTTTCTGCAACCAGATTCAAATGCCTCGGGGTTAAAGAAACTTCACAAAACGGTTTATTGACAAATCTAACTTCTTATAAACTTTGGTCGGGGTTTATATTTTTGACAAAGCAAGAGAAATGGTAAACTTGATCACTGGTTTCCAAATGCAACAATTCTTTTCCGGTCTAATATGAGACGAGCCAATCTATAGATTTGGTATGAATATCAATATGCTCATTTTTGTGTATAGAAAGAACGTTTCGAAGTAGCTATTCGAAGTTTCACTCTTAATGCGAACATCAGGCAACTGTTTGCATTACGCATGAAACTTGGTTCGCACAGTTGCCTAAAACCGCATTAACCGTGAAACTCGAAATAGCGACTTAGAACCGTCCTTTCCATTCTCCAAAAGCGTTTATATCTCTGCCTATACTTTATGGTAAACTGGTAAACAGTAATTTTCATCAATATTGATATAGTCTAATTTTACATACATGCACATGAAGCACCTGAATTTCTTAACTGCAGTAAAACAGCACCATTTCAATGTAAAAAGCTGAGTTAAGCTAAGAAAACGCTACCGATGACTTACTTTGTGTAATGGGATTATTTCTAGGCTCCATGCGTTGGATAAGAATGCCTATGCCGCTTACCAGGCTTGCAGCAATTTACAAGATGTTGTTGAGAAACTTAGCAAAAGAAAAATAGCTGATATGCCTGGTTTGCAAAAATCTTTAAGTATCAAGGCTTCACTGATGACACCTGTCAAACCAATGCTGGTAAGAATGGCTTCAATTAGCATTTTAATGCTAGCTTCTAATATTTCTTCCAAAGTTAACATTTAATCGTTAATGTTATTCATTTCAAAAAGTAGAGTTCAGCTCGATGCATTTTTTCATCTTTCTTTTTACCCCTAGAAAAGTGTCGTTTTGTTACAGCTGAACTTTTTTGCCTTTTCATTCCGTTCATTATTTTCAACCAAACATCTTAGTTGTCCACCCATTCGCCTGTTTGAGCAGAATATTTAGTTTACTCAATTCAAATCTAAGTCTCTTTTAGTTTAAGGGGACAATACCTTACTGCTTCCCTTCTTTTAATCAAGTCATATCTACATCAATGTAAAACATTAGAGAGTTTGCACTATGCCGTTATATGATCTACAAACCAGAAAGACATGTGATGTGAAAGATTAATCTGAAGTATATTGCGATGCCCATAACCTGTTCTATTCTATCATTAAATCAATCCCAGTCAAATTGCATCTCTAATCCTACTGCTTGCAACACATGTTTGATGCGTACTTTCTGATTCTCTTGTCGAAGACGATCATCAAGATAGAATTAATACTTTGTTGCAGCCGCATTGGTATTTTAGTGACCAGCCAAATTATGAACAATTGATCACTGACCCTTTTGTTACTGTTGTTTTCACTGTAAGCAAGTAAGAGTGTCAATGTAAAGTACGGCAGGAAGCTAACAGCCATGCTAGCAAGAATGCACATAATCGCTTTGGCGAAATCCTTGTTTGTGTTTTGCCAGCTCGCAGTGTTGCTTGTAGATATGTTTAAGCCTGCAGTCCGTCGAATGAGCTCTCGATATGCCTTGAAGTAGGTTAATGAGATGTAAACGAACATTAGAAATCCATTTAATGTTAGAATAAGATGTGAGATGAAAGAAAATGAGAAAACCTGGCCAAGGGTAAGCACGGTGGCACAAACGATGCTTGCTGTAAGTGCAGCTAATATATATTTGATCATTCGACTATTTGTGATGATCTGATTGTATCTATGAGGATGTTTCATGTGTACCTGGCGATCGACTGCAATTGCAAGCATAGACATTACGGAAAACTCCACCGAGGCAAAGGCAACGGCCTTCAAGAATAGCTCAGCTTTCATATTTGGATGAACAACAGAAAATGCCCAGGTGATTTCCTCCGCCAACATCTGCATCCCATTGACTATGCCAGTTATTGTATAGCAAAGTATCAGCCTGTATGACAATCTCCCAAGTCTTCTTAGCCGCCTCATTGCGTGAATTAGAAATGAGTTCACTATAATGTTTGTAATACCGACCAATATGAAGGGTGTGATGAAATTTCTCCGTATTTCATGAGTAGAATCCATCGCTTTCCATGCAATCAAATTGAAGTGATTCTTTTCTTTATTTGACCTTTCTTAAGACATTTTCCCTATGTTTTTTATCGAAATTGCGCGATTCAATTTTTTCTGACAGCAAAAATTACACACAATCTGTCACCAATGTGATCTCATGTTTCCTTTTATAACGCGTGCTTGTCCAATCAGCTTCGTGGCGTTACTTCCAGTCTCTTCGCTTGCATTGACAATGTCGGCAACGTAAATTGATTTTGTTGCTAAGCTTTCCAATTTTATTACTCTTTCTAAGTGTCATAATCCTTGACAAACAATATTAAAGTCATTTTTCGTAATCAAGCCCAAAAAGCCTTCAGTTTCAATTAAAAACTGCGATGGCCTTGTTTGCCTTTTCTATACTTTTTTAAAGAAAGCAAGCAACGAGAAGTCCTACATAAACATAACTTTATATTTCCGCTATATTTTCTAAGTTTTGTCAGTTTTCAATCCTTGGACAGGTGAAAATCATAATCAGTCAGTAGATACTTGGCTTACCCGGCCAATTGGCTTCCTTTAAAAGCATTAATTTTTAGGCAGCTGTATTAATATTGCAATTAAAACAGTCAACTCTATGTTTGTAGCAGCACGAATGAAATATCACAAGTATGAATGGCATAATGTATTTTTATAGCCAATATTTAGTTATAATATGATTACTTATAATATAAGAAATAATGTAATTTTTATAGCATAAAATATTAACACAGAAACATATAAATGACAAAATTTTAGTTTATTATCCTACTAATATGTTAACATATTGACATATTCCCTGATATCACCTGATAAACATATAAACATATAAACTTTAAACATTTAAACACGTAATTATTCAGCATTCTTGAATTTTGAAATTTTTATATTTCAATATATTAACCTTCATAACCTTTCAACAAATTTTATAAATTTTTTGCATATTAACAAATTTACATATTCACACAGTCACATATTAACATATGAACATAGGTAATTTTGTCGTCTTATTGCCAGTATTAAACTATAACTAGAATGAACGAACTTGAACTTATTTTCCTTTCTTTCTGACCCTACCCCCTCTTTTCCCAGTCTAGAGCCACTATGGTTAGAGTATAGCTGTAGGCTCCTTGGCTCCCTAGCATTATCGACTAAAAAAGGAAAACCTTCTTTTAGCTGGTTGCTGATTGACAGGTTTACTGAAGCCAATAAGATGCTTAGACCCTTCATATGTCAACTAGCAGAGCAGTGACTTTTGAAATTCAGATGCCGTTAATTTGGATGTTGTCCCATCTTTATACGCATCCATTTTTACTTCGTTTATGAATTTTACAATTTTGCCGAAATGAAAGCAGTATCTTTGTATTATAGCAGAGATCTGGATTCGACGAGCATATTGTACGGCATCAGTGCTAAGATGAATGATCCGTTTTGATTTTCGAGTGTGCTGTGTCAAAGTATTGCTGTCATATGAATTATTAAGCGTTTTGACGGAGTCATAGAAACGGTAACGTGTCGTGCAAAGTCAGTTATAGATAGTGTCAGACCCGAGCTACAGAGATCGGAGTAGGGCTGACGAGGAAAGCTCACTGAATTTGAATTTTGCGTGCTGAAGTGGAATACGATATGCTTGTTAAGATGCATTGGGTGAAAAGTTCTTTTTGACATTGAGATGTACTATTGTGAAGCCTTCTTTTCCACCCTTTCGATATGCAGACTGTCAAACTGCAACCTACGATTACAACTTTAAAGGCTCTTGCGCCACCGACATGCTTTGCGGTACCTATTTTTTACATCAAGAGCAATGAACTATATTTGGTAATTTTTTGCGATACGATATTAGGCCGGTTTCGATTATATTGTCGCAAAGCATGCCGGTTGTGTAAGAGCCTTTAAGATCTCTTCTGCAAAATTTTAAGCTTCTGAAAGGTGTTTTGTGTGTTAAACATCTACAATAAGCCTTGAAAATTATCGATTTCTTAAATTTATCCCCAATACCCTCTTTGAGTCACCCTCTATATAATCTAAAGTTTGCTAAATGGGTTTACAGTATAATCCGGTTATAACGTACTTTAAGGGACCAGCGTATTAAGTACGTTATATCCGAAGTACGTTGTAACGAGGGTAAGTAAAAATTGACTAAAACCCAGCACATCTTTTGCTGGGACCAAGCACACCAGTACGTTATATCCGAAAGTACGTAATAACCGAATACGTTATAACGGGATTCTACTGTATTCTAACTTTGGATTGTTATTTCTTTATAGAAAGGACATCTAAGTGATCATTATATTTTGTTAATTTTGATGCAGGCTGAGGCATGCAAATCGACGACGTTTGCGATGAAGAAGTGTCCAAATGGAATGTTGGCGGAAATCAAGTACGATGGAGAACGTGTGCAGGTAATTTTTGAAATGTCTTTTTTACAAAAGTGTCAGGTGAAAACATCAGACAAACCGGCAGCCAAATGACTCTTCGTCTCAACTCCTCGGTGCTGCCAAATGCTCGCTGTATAAAATATCTGTATTCTAACTTCATTTCGTTAGTATTGACGGTTATAGATTTTTTCAGAATTTCAGGAAGTCGACTTCAAAAACCAATGCCCCAAGCCTCTACGTGTCTCAAGGATTGTCCCTGGAAAAAATTAACTGTTTTTGCTGTTTTGGGGTTTTTGTCTAAAGTCTTTAAATGCCCTGGCACGATGCTGCTTGTTATCTGTACTTTTGATAAGCAGAGTCCTAAATGCTTAGAAGCACTTTTTTGCAGAGTTTTTGCCAATCAAAAAACATTGAAGGTGCTATCACCTCCTAGCATCTTTTGCCATCCCTCCTTTGGACTAGACCCCTTTGCAAAGTTTTTCTAGTGTTTTCCTTCTTGTGTTGTTGTTAGGTGCCATTGAATCTCATTTCGCTCTGCCTTTCGAATGGCCCAACTTTCATATCCATACATCATCATGGGGAAAACGATGGTCTTCACCATTCTGATTGTTGTTGACGTTGATATGTTGTTTCCTTCATGTCCTAAATCAGCTTGCTCATTGCTGCTCTTCCTTGTACGCCTCGACGTTGAATTTCTCCTGCACATGATGTGCATGCCTCTTTTTCTATCTTTGACCCAAGAAAGATGAAGTTGTTGCCAACTTCAACTTCTTCACTTTCAAATTCAAACTTTTCAATATCAGCTGTTGACATCACCCTAGTTTTTTTATTTTCAACCATAGGCCATATTTTTGCTGTCTTCTTTCACCCTCAGCAATAACAGTTTTATTTGCTTCTTTGTCTCATCAACCAGAGTTATGTTGTCTGCATACCTGGGATTGTTGATTTTCGCACCTCCGCTTCGCACACCAACCGCTATGCTGCTGACATCTGCTTTCCTCATAATGTCTTCACGATAAAGTATTCTTTCTATCTCTAGACCTTGAAAAAGCATTTGATAAGTGGTGGTTAAAATCTTGTATATTGGATCATTATAGAAGTGGAATAAAGAGGAGGTTTCTAGGTAATATATACGAGCTTGATGAAGAAGGATACATTAGAATCTATACATTCCATCTGTTGACAAGTGAATTTGAAATCGGACAGAACCTAAAACAAGGAACATTCCTAGCAGCTTCCGTTTGTGCAAATCACATAGATAAGAAGATGAAACGAATTAGCTAAGAAAATTTTGGAATTAATTATGGGGTCATGAAAGTCCCACCCATACTCTATCAAAATGATAAAATGTTAGCCTCATAATCAGGCAACATTATGAAAGAAACGCTGGAACTTGCAGAAGAATTTCAAAAGATAAACCTCTTAAATTTCAAACCGGACTACAGTGAACAAATGAATATGATATTTTGTAATATAAAAACAGAATAGTAATGAAAACCTAATACAGAATGGATAAGATATTAACGCAGTAGAATTGTATAAGTACCTTGGTGACTGGAAAAAATATAAAAGTAACATGGACCTCTGTATTAAAAAAGACCAAATTTGGCAATAGGGATAATAAAATTCAGTCAAAAGCTTTGCTATAGTCGATGCAGCAGCAGTATATTTCTTTCTGAAATTCTGGTAATCTTTCCATCAACTGTCTGATGTTAGCTATCTGATCCTTTGTCCCTCTAAATTTTCTCCTGCTTGTTCCGCTGGCATTTCTCTTGCATATATAGTCCTTTCTGTGTTGAATTATCTCCAAAAGGACCTTGCTAACATAAAATATAAGTGCAATAGTTCAATTGTTTGCACAGAGTCAGGGATCCCCTTTTTCGGGAGTGGAATAAAGACTGGCTGTTTTCATTCAGTAGGCCATATAAATGAATTCCAAATCAAGACAGGTGAAGGTAAAAGTTTTCACTCCAGCCTCTCCAGGTGCCTTTATCAATTCAATTGGTTTTCACATTAATAGGTAATTTACAATTGGTAATTGCAAGAGCCCATTCAAGTTCTGCCTTCGTAACCACAGGTTCTTGCTCAAATTCTCCAGGACAGATTCCCTCATTTGCTTACGCCTTATTGATGTACGTCTCTTTTCTCTTCAAGTTCAGTCTCCCTATTTCTTCCCGTTCTCTTCCTGCCATGACCTCTCTTCTCACCTTTGCTATTTTGATTGTACTGCATGATGTTCACTTTGCTTTATTTTTTCTATTCCTTTTTGAGATAGTGTATTTTGCCTCCTGGGTCATTATGTCTTCCTACATTACTAAGACATTCAAAGCGGTTTGTGGCTCGGATTTGATACTGTTGTGGAAAGTTGTCCATCGTATTCTTGATCACTGGTTTTGTTTCTTATTTGTCTTTAGTCTTAATATCTCTTTGCAAAGTATTAGCTGATGGTGGTCCGTGCCCCATTCTTATCCTGGAAATGTTTTTACGTCCTATATTGAACTTCCTGACTCATTTTCATTCCCAACCTTGACATTTAGATCACTTATAGCAAATAACATATCCCTCTTGGTGTTGAGTCAACTATCAGTTGAACTTTTCCGCACAATTCTTCGATTTCATCTTCCAGCACCATATCTGTCTAGACTTTCTCCATAAAGTTTTCCTAGAAGTATACAAAGTCTTGATGCTCTTTCAGGTCCATAAAAAAGGGAACAGTTTCGACTATTTCAGCCGCAGTTTTAAACCAGTTCAACCTCACAAGGTAGCTAGCATGAAATTATTTATATCCTCTACAATCTTTTTGTTTTATTCTCTTGTATGTTTTCTTCACTTCTTTGGCATTTCTATATTTTTATCTTTTGATTCTCAGATTAACTTCAGTCAGTCACAGTTTTTTATATGAAAATTTATTAACTTGTATGAATTGCTAAAGTTGTTTAAGATTCTATAAATAAATATGGAAACAATTTTTCTAAAGAAGAAGAATTTTAATGTAAAATGCACTTCTTTGGCGACCGGAAACCACATATTAGATAGGGAAAGTTTCTAGATGGAAGTGACTTCTCTCTGCTTAAGACGCCACGTTCTAGCAGTATTGCTTGTGACAATCACTACTGGAAAAAAACCTAATCGAGCCATACCTACATATGTTTTATTTCATCCCGTTTATCCCTGTGTTTTTATTTTCTTAAATTCATCCACAGTTTTTGCAATTTTCCACTAATAATACTTTTTGGTTTTATACAGGTGTCAGAAATCAAGCACTTTTTGCCAAAAGCCTGTCCAGAAGGAGATAATCTTATTTTAGATGGTGAGGTAAGAAATTAATCTACTTTGGTGTACAATCAAGACATTTATTACCAATTTAAAAGAGGGTTGTTTTTTTTACATTGTACATCCAAAAAAGAATAATGTATAGAATGAGAAATCAGACAGAGAAAGTACAAAGGGGACAAGGAACAATAAACACGTGGCTGGAGAATCTAAAACTTAGTGATAGGAGAGATAAAATGTTGTTCATCGTGGTCATTTGAAATGGGGATTGCAGGATTAGAACAGGTGTGTTTGGCAATCTCCTTGCGTTACAAATATGTACCTTACTGTAAACACACATTTCATGGGCTGACATTCTGTGCTAAGGATAAAAACATTTATGCAGGAATTAATAGAAAATTGCAGCTATCGAATTTTATTGACGATGAAAGGCTAAAGAATAGAAATATGTACGCTTTCCTAACATGGAGCGTCTTGTGTTGCCCTGAAATTTTTTAAAAGCAACGCTCCATTTCAGCTCTGCTGTCTTGGTTAAAAAATATTGACATGTATAGGTCAAATTTTATCTTTGTTACCAAAGATTTAATTCTGTTTTATTCATTACATGAAAAAAGCAAACATTTTATAAAATATTGGCTAAAAGCTTTTTCGTCTCACTCCTCAGAGCTTAGAACGTCAGAATAAGGATACGAAGAACACGATGAAGAATATATAGTTGTGGATTTTCATTACAGGTTCTTCTGGTTGATAGCAAGACCGAAAAGCCGCTTCCATTTGGAACACTTGGAATTCACAAAAAATCAAAATTCAAAGATGCTACCGTGTGTTACGTCATTTTCGATATCCTGCAGTTCAATGAAGATAATACAATGAAAAGGTTCGTTGCAACTGAGATGTTTTATCTTTAGAAAATTGCGTTGAGTCGGGTTTTTTAGAATTACCACATCTAGCAAGGTAGTAACGCATAAAAACATTGTTGAAGAGAATGAAGTCCATAGATTCTTTGAACTGCTGCTGAATTCTGTGTAGCCGTGTTGCAATTTAATTCAAAGAAACTGCAAAAATGTTGCAATTTGTTTAAGTTTGTTGCTTGTTATTTGCTTGTCAAATTCCCTTCATTCATCGTCCTTGGCGTGGAAATATTCCGACTCGAAGACTAACGCTGATTGGGTCAACTGCAATGTTGAAAATCAAAAGTCTAATTAGTGGATTACGATTTTAAATTGAACAAACTGCCGATTTCATAGATTTTTAAATTTTAATAATCAAAATTAAATATAATGAATGTGCCTTGATTATCCAGCTTGATTCGAAAAAGACATTAATTGGAACTAGAAAACAGAGAATCTCCTTTTGGGAACTATTGCGAAACCAAATGCACCTAATTGGTGATTTCTGGGCGCGTGTAATTTTTTGCTGCACCACAAACCCGCCTCTTTCTTTTTATTTACCATGTCGATGGCTTATTTTGAGATTATGGGCAATCAATCAGATAAGGTGTCTTACATTTGCACGTAAATCGTTTTTGTGGTGCAGCCTGGTAAACGTAGCTATGTTTTTAAGATCTCCTATGAACTGACTATGAACTGGCTCCTATTAATTAAATCTGACATCAAACATGAGCGAAGAAAAAATATATTTCTTCTTTTCTCTGAAATCGGCTCGGAAAATGCTTTTTTCCCCCACCTGGAAGTCTTGTACTCTGATTTGCGATCTCTGATCAAGCCGCCAACTTGCTACAGCAAATGGTGGCTAATTATTTAAACATAAGCCATCAGGAAATTGCTGAGAGGATAAGTGCTGCAATTACTGCAAAAATGTGTTACGAAGAAAGAGCCTTTTCACACCTTTTCTTTGCAGTACGAAAGAAAAATTTACACGACATATGCTTGACCTGGCAACAAATCATGTTGTTGTTGTTACAAGCGCAAGGAGAAATTTGTCCTTGTCCTGGTAAACGTTGAAGCCTGGTTTCCATATAGCCGTAAGGCTGCCTGCGGCTCCCTGCGACTGCTTTCTGCCATCTTCCATCTTCCATCCCTACGGTATCGCCGGCAGATAATTCTTTATGGAAACGCTTTCTAACGGTACCGCAGGCAGCTGTTTGAAGTGCCGTAAGACTGCCGGGAGAGCCGGGAGAAAGTTGAACGAGTTCAACTTTTCCCGGCTCTTACGGCAGCCTCCCGGTACCGCCGGCAGACAAATTACAAATGGAAACGCCTTGCCTGCGGCTGCCTGCGGCATTCTTTTGTTCAAACGGATCATGTGATGTGCAAGAACCAATTGAAACAGGGCTTTGTTGTTGAATTTTGCCCGCCAGTTTTTCCCGCTCAAACTTTACCTAGTTACTGGCATAGTTACCGATACCGCAGGCAATTGAAAACAGAACGTTTCCATTTGCCGGCGCTACTGTAAGGGTGGAAGATGGAAGATGGAAGATGGCAGAAAGCAGTCGCAGGCAGCCTTACGGCTATATGGAAACCAGGCTTCTCCTATGATTTCCGTTGTTTAACGTGGATGCAATAAGGTGCCATGGTCTTGGTTCTGGTCTGTAGACCCTAAAAAACAACTTAATATGCATCAGTCAGTCTGTCAGTCGGCCCGTAACAAACGTAATGATAACAAAAATGTTTGAATTTTACACAAATCTGATTTAAAGAACTACAGGGGAAGAGACAAAATTGGGAAGAATTGTAAAAACATATCGAATCTAAAAGGATATGATCAAGGTGCGTGGTGGGAATTGAGGACGCTTTTTAGCAGCAGTGGTATTAAGAGTTTATATAATGATGACCTTGAAAGGACTTGTAACATTAAATTTCTTGTAGCTTAAATTGAATTTTCTGTAAAGTTTCGGAACTCTCGTATCGGAATTGTATCATCTTTTTTTGCTCAATATTTCTTTATTACGATAAAGATTCCCCCCAACTTAACGCAAAAGTCAATCATCTGTTTCTTGTTGCTTTTTAGGTTTTACTCAAAGTACTCTTTACTCACCTTATTTCCTCAGGTCGGTTTTGGAGAGAAGAGATCTTTTGATGAAAAACGTTAAAGAAATTAAAGGGCGGATCATGCTTTCAGAGATGACTCGAATAACGGTAATGATTATGACTGAACATTACTGCAGTTAACAATAGCTATTTGTGACTTCTTCTATCATGAACAGGGCAGTCGCTAGCTATTATACTTAAGGGGGGCTTCCATGTCCGTTTTATGTCCGCTATTTGCCAACAAGTTTAAGAACTTGCCAACAAAACACCCCTATGTGACAGAAACTCTTCTTCTTTGAAAGTAAATTCTGATACACGCTTCAACCTTCTCTCCATAGTTGCACCTTAGAAATACTTTAAAGTAATTTTTAACGACTTCCCTGTTGTGTTTTAGCGAGAATCAGAACTGAAAGCCATGCTTGAGGATGTTTTTGCTAAAAATCTTGAAGGTCTTGTTCTCAAAGATCTAAAGGTAATTCTGAAAGTTGTCATTAAATCTTTTGATCGCATCCTTTTTTTTCGCTACTTCTTATCACAAGGCAATTCGTGTGTAATAATTCAATGGGAGCTAGTGTTGTAATATTTGTAATGGTAATTCTAATGTTGTAATGATTCTAGTTTATTTTTTTGTCCTATACTAAAGGAAATCAAGATTGTGATTAAGTTAACTTAAACCGCATTAAATATGCTTGTTTATCTCTTAACTGGTATCTTTCAGAGCACCTATGAGCCAGGGAAAAGACATTGGCTAAAGGTATTTATAACACAAAAGTTTATAAGGTCATTAAGTACTATCTTATATAAAGGAAGCTAGCTAACACGCACTCAGCTCGCCTAATGCTATTACACTTCCTCCACCCCTTAACATCCTCTCTACCTTCTTTGGTCTCGCTGCCTTTCTACCCTACCTGCAAGAACAAGCCTAGGTAAGAGGCCGGAAGATTCTCCCATAAAATAACTAGCAAATGTCACTTTTCTCTTCAACATTTCGACCATTCCCATCAAGGATCTTATCATTCCTTATTTCCTCAATCCAACTTATTTCTAGAATTCTTCTGTAATACCATATTTCAAAAGCATGTTTCGTTACCATGCATTTATAAACATTACCGTTAAATAAATACTTTAAATCCTTTATGTTTTGTTTACAGTATATTCATTTCCGTTCCTTCAGATATCGTATTTCATTTTCCTTTTAGAATTTGCCATGATTTTACTGTCAATTCTGCTGTCACACACTTTCATAGAAAGATCAGCTCTTTTTTCCGAAAAAATTAGTTTGTAGCCCATTTTTGACTAAATCTTAAACGATCTAACTTGTCCTTGTAAAGATAAATTAATGTTGTTAATGGAGAATTCAACGTCTATCAATTATTTTTGTAAACTGTATTTATGTCAAATCAAATATCCCAGAAGTTGGTAGCTTGTTCCGGGTAACATGGTTTTGGTGTTCTTTTGTACTTTCAACTCATTCATAAAAGATAGCCTGGTTTATGATAGATGGCGTATGTTCTATTTTGATGTGAAATTTTTTAAGATGAAAAAAGATTATTTGCACGAAGGAGCCATTGCTGATACTGCAGATCTCGTTGTTCTTGGTGCTTACTTTGGAACAGGAAATAAAGGTAAAAAAATTCTATTATCTTCGTCATGTCTAGCACAAATATAAATTGTTCATATGAATTTGCTTGTGATTCTAATAACAAAAGGCATAATGCTTGGTAAAGGGCGATATAAATTGGCTTTTGGTTTCTGTTGTCCCTATCTTAAAACGCTTTAATTAAATGATAAGATTGTGTCAGAAATTTTGCTTTTTTTGGAGCGCTGTTAACAAAATTGTAAGAATAATTTCTGAAAATTGATCTTTTCTATGGATTTAGAACTCATGTTGTTTTACTAATGACACTGATCTGATGTCATTTAATGATGGTAAGCAAATCTTAAAGAAGACTTAATTTCATGGTTTTTCATCTTTACATGTCATCATTTTCCAGGTGGCATGATGTCAGTATTCTTAATGGGGTGCTACAACCCTGCTGGTAAGAAATGGGTCACTGTTGCAAAATGCGGAAATGGGCATGATGATAGTACCATTCTGCGCTTACAGAAGGAGCTAAAAGTGAAGAAAATTAGTAAGGTATATTTGCAATGACTGCTATGTTATGTTCCTCGTTATTGACGTCAAAACTCTCTCTTTGTTATGTCATCATGGGTAACCTCGACAAACTCTTGAAAACATCAGAATAACTTTGAAAAGCATTCAAAATGTTGCTTTTAGCGCCTTGTCTGAGTAAATTATATCTAATCAATAAATAATTTGTTCACAGCTCGCAACGAGACAGCTTTACATTAAGCTAACTAAAGCCAACTATTTACATTAACCTAACTACAGCTACACTAGAAGCTATCTTCAGACTTTGCGGTTTTTCGTTTTGTAGGTTTCTAGCGATAAAATCCTATCCAATTAAGATTTGATTCAGATTATCGACAGTTTTTTATAATTCGATCAAGACCGGCTGGTAATTTTTCTGGTAAACTGACATTGCTTCCATCTTAGCTAATGATTGATCAAATTTGGAGGTGCTATCCTTGCATATGATTCGAGGAGACTCGTTAATAGAACTTTTTCGAAACAAAATTTATGTTTTTTGAGAAATTGGCTATCAAAGGTTTGTGGTTGAGAAAGTCAAAAGCATTTGAAAAACTAGTAGAAATAATTTGAACTTTTCATAAGAACCTGCTGTTTATTGTAGCTTTTTCAGAATGGCGCAAAGAGTTTTCAGAAAGATATGTGGACAAAAAAAAGATCAGAGAGAAAAACAGAATTTGTTTTTTCATCATATATTCATAAATTTTGATATTGGGGGCAAGTAAATTATTGGTCGACAGAACCCTTATCAATGAATCTAGCCTCTCAAATCCAGTCCCTACATTAGCCTCTTTTAACTCTTAATAAATTAAAAATTAAAATTCTTCTTAGAAGCAGGTGGTTTGGCGTAAAAAAAAGCAGGGTTGAAGAAAAGCTGCATTATCGGATTTCGGTTATTTTTATTTGGCTCGCATGTTATTTTGATATTTATTCAAGTCAACTAATTCTGAGATTTGGCACAAGATTAAACTTATTCTGCTCGTATGCTTTTTATTGTTATTAAAATTAATTTTTACAACACTGTATGATCAAGCTTAAAAAATTTCCTGTATTATGCTTGGCATTTGTAGATTTTGCAAAAGGATCTTTTTCTGAATTCGATTACTCAATGTAAAGTTTATTTTTGTACAGGAATATTCTAAAATACCATCTTGGCTCGAAATTTCCAAACAGCTTGTTCCAGATTTTGTCGTTGAAGATCCAAAGGTAAGCCTGCTTTCTTCGCTTAGTGACAGATTTTTAATGAAATATGATTAAAAGAGTTAATTAAATGTACTGATAGTGATGTATATATTAAGCTTTTTGCTTTTATCATCAACATCATAATCATAATTGATCATAATCGCCAACACTACTCTCAGCGCCATCACATCTCTGCGTTCATCTTTCTGCTAATAATTTTTCATTTTTAAAATAATAGAATTAAGAACTATCATAAAACATGGTTTGTTTGACACTAGACTGCCCCAGTGTGGGAAATCACAGGAGCAGAATTTAGCCAGTCAAGTACACATACAGCCAATGGAATATCTATTCGATTTCCACGTGTGACAAGGATTAGAGACGACAAGGATTGGGAAACAGCCACGGATCTGCCAACACTTCAGGTAAAGTTAAATGAATTGACTTTTAAAAGAAAGGTAGACTTGCTGTATCCTGTCGGTATTTTCTACGTATGTGATGGTAAAGTGGTCAAATCAGTGTTTTATAGTTTGTTCAGTGAGTGGTTTTATAGTTAGAGAAATTTTAAATGAGCCAAGTGGGTGGGGATATATGTTGATGACTGTGCTACATTTGTGTGGATTTATATGCATGAATATACTACACTTCTACACTTCGCTTTATTTTCATTTACAAGTAAAGATAAGAAATTGACAAGAAATTTATCTAACGTGATTGTATGCCTACTTAGGTTTAGATGCATTACTATAGTTATTTTAATTATATTTTGTGATGTGAAATTATCTTGGGTTGTGATAAAGATTTTATTTCCCTGTCAAACTAGTAAGTGCTGTTCATTTTAATCATAGAAATTGTACGAAAACTCAAAAGCTGTTTCAGGTAGTATCCTTGATTGATTTTTCATGATATCTTGAATATTATTTAATCAATTTATCGTTGTTTTTTTATTGTTCTTATATAATGATGATTTTGAATTAATTTACGCTATTTTACGTAGTCTTTGGTAAGAGTCCCTTTTTGGCTCTTGATCTCTGTTATATTGATAAATTTCCAAATATTTCTTTCTCAACCAGTTGTTGCCAGCAACTTTCTAAAACTGTCAGTATATAACGGAAACAAAAACCGCCAATACATCGGACAAACTAGTAGACGACTTAATAACAAATTTAACGAACACTGACGAGACATTATGAACAAAAAAGATGACATGTCTGGAGTTGCAGAACATTTCTGCAGCACAGCACACACCATCAACGACCTTGCCATTACACCATCACATAGACTTAATGACAAACGAGAGAGTGTTCGTCGAGCTAAAGAGCAATATCTCATTGGCCTGGCGGACATCCTCGCCCCCAACGGCATGAACAGAACCACTGACCGTTAACTTTACAAAACAACTAATCATTTATCACGCCGTCCTCACAACCCACACCATGTTTTCCCTACCAGTATCATCATCATCACCACCATTACTATCATCAACATTCCATTGTTCTCAGTTCTATCACAATTATTATTAGTATTGTTTTTGTTTTTTTTCCTCATATTCACAGTCATCATTATCATCTCATTGCACCAATCTCCATAGCACCACCCACATCCCCTCACATCACCCACCACCCTTCCCTCCCCCACTTCCATCATCCCATTTTTTCTCCACTGCGCTGCATTCACACCATTCAACATCCACCAATCCGGTATCACCATCTCACATTTCAAATCCATTCACTCGTTCGTTTCATTTACTCTGATGAAGCCCTGTATGCCGGGGCGAAATATTAGTATTCGTTTAGTTTAATTTGTTTTGGAAAATGTATCTCACAACATTGGACTCTCGTCACAGTTTTGCTTTGTTTCTGAATTCTATCCTCTTATTTATATTATATTCATTGCAAGATTCACAGAATCCGGCGCACAGCCTATCCTGCGGTTCTTCTTTCTCACACATTATTTAACTTTCTAAAAGTTTTTATTCAATATATCAATATTCACTTTAATATAGAGCTCTTATGATTTTTTTAGAAGATCAGTCAAGGCCAGGAACTAGCAAGGCTGTGGAGATAAAAGCAGATGATGCTGTATATATTGATCGGAAAGATCGCCAAAAGGATCCTGGATATACCAAGGGAGATACTAAGGTAAAGCGGATATATAAAAGGGCCTTCAATGATGACAGCGATGAAGACAAAAGCCCTCCCCCAAAGAAGGTCTGTTTGTCAATTGTATGTTAATTCACTTTACTAGTTTGTTAAAGAGTAAAATCCCATGAATATTTCTTGCAGAATTAGAAAATTTAATAATGCAAAATTTAATAACCTTCAATGATCAGTTTTACTCAAGTCTGAGAGGAAAGCAAACATTGTAATTCAAATGAAGTATAAGAGAAGGATGTTCTTCTGAGCTAAAACTTCTAAAAAGCTATTATCATTCTGAAAATGTCATTATCAACTGTTAAGTTTTCGTATTTCAATGAGTGATTTAATAAATGAAACTAAAATTAATTTTTAAGCAAAGCATATACAAAATTGTTCACTTGTTCTGAAGATATTATCACTTCTGTATTCTGGTTCTGGAAAATCTATCCAAATAAATTTCTCAAATGGCTGTAAGCAAAGTATATCCAAACTTCAACTTTTTTATACTTACAACAGCAAAATTGAGAGAGTAGTGAGCCAAGGAATGTTCTTGTAATAAAAGTATTTGGAAGGTTTTTCCACGAATCGTTTTTGAAAATAGAACATTTCTTGCAACGACAACCCATGTGAGTATTTGAGCGGTTGAACTCTCAACTTGTCTTAGTATGACATGTTTCCATTTTTCCTGGATATTTTCTAATTTTGCGGTACCAAATGCTTATTTTGTTATCATATTAGCTTATTTTCATTTGTTAGTTTCGTTTTAAATTTTCTCGTTCACTGTAATTAGATTTTTAGTAAAACTCAAAAATAGATGGAAATGTAATACTTGTCAATCATGCATTTAACATCACTTCTTGGATTCCAATGAATTACATCTTCCATTTATTGGATTTTGAAATTAAGGTATGCAGCACTATCTTACAAGAGATTTTCTCTCAGAAGGTCAAACCTCTGTGCAAATACAAAGAAAAGTGTTATCAAAAAAGCAAGAAGCACCTCGAGGAATATTCACACCCTGAGAAACCCTTGAGCTCATTGGCTGAGAGCTCATTGGCTGAGAGCTCAATGGCTGAGAGCTCAATGGCTTCATCAAATCCATCCAGACTATCGTCACAGAAAGTAAGTAATGTTCTGTTACAGGTATTTTTGCTTTATCCTGAACAAATTCCTAATTAATATTTCATCTTTTCGTTTTCTAACCGTGTTTTACAAGTTTCAGTTTAACAGCCATCGTTCTGTAGATAATTTTTTTGTTTTGAGTATCCTATCAGCTGTCAGGTTTACTACTAAAAATGCTAAACTTGTAATGCTAAACTTGTGATGTTGTGATGCTAAAAATGCTAAACTTCTGATGATTTCATACCTGAATAAACCTTAAAATTTTCTACGCCTCGATGACATTTTTGATATTTCAAGCAGATTACATTTCATGTAAAAAGTTTATCTTTTTGCAATGCATGTAGTTTTCTTGTTGGCCTAATTCATGCATTTTTCTCTTTTAAAGAATTTGCCAGCCATATTCTCCAGTACCCAGGTTTTCATATCAGATGATATATCATCGTTCAACAAATTGAAAAGATATATTATTGCGTATCCTTTCACACAAGCCTTTTCCTCAAAGTATTTAATGCGAATAAACAGAAGTGACATATAGTAGATATCTGTTAATCATATCAAAGACGTAATATAACTTCAATTGGAATATTGCAGCTGACAATTTGCGCTGACAATTTGCAAATTGTTTTGTTTGTATTTAACCCTATCCAGACTAGGGGGGGGGCACAAAGTGCCCCCCTAGTTGGTTTTTCTTACATAACTTCTAGAGTTTCAAAGCAATACCCCTCAGACCTCCTGACTTTTAGTTTTAACCTGTCTGACACATGTTCATATAAAAAGATAATTTTTTTATTATTAATCAGGGGGTTGTGTAGGGGCATTTTCAAAACTAGTCAAGTAAAAAATAGTTCAATCTGCCACGGATTCGCAACAAAAGTAGATATATTGATGAAAATTAGTATCTAGGCATTAATTTGTGCTCTCTTCATGATTCTGACCAGAAAATTCAAATTCAACATCCTTTTCTATGATTTTTCTGCTGCGCATGCGCACACATTTGTTGGCATATTTATAGGTATTACATTAATAAAACTGCAAGTTTAGAATAATTTGTCTGCTAAGGCATTAAAAATGAACTCAAACATGACATTTGGTTGTATCGATCATTACGTTATATAGAAAAAACTATAGCCAAGTACAAAATATGTTGAGTTCTTTTGTTTGGAACGTTAATAATTTTGAGAAGTAACATTAAAATTGTGTCAATCTTCTTGTTTCTATTAGAAAATGCATCAAACTTGCTTATTTTAGTATCTTAGCCCGATGCTTTGGAATTAATGAATATTTTAAGATTTTCTAAAATTTTCTAAATTTTTGCTTCACCCGGCCACCATTATGATGATGTCATTGTAAAACCACGTGACTTAAAAATTGAACAATAATACTAAAATGTGGAGAAAAGATAAGAGTACCATCCAAACAAAGTTCATTGTCCTAGCTAGAGGGACAAAGAAATTATGGAGGGGGGGCACTTTGTGCCCCCCCCCCCTAGTCTCCCGAAAGTTTCAAAAAGCCTAGTCTGGATAGGGTTAAAGATATAATGTCATTGCCTTGGGCTGTTATTAATTTACGCCCAATACAGATATGTTATCATTTTATCGCTTTATCCATTTTGTAAACTTTTATCATTTGCCCAAGGATATCATACACTCCATGAATTTGCGCGAGAAAAAGGGTATCCCTTAACTAATTTTTGGAGCCCTAGTCACAAACACGGGTGCAAATTAAACCCCGTGGTTTTGTCGGGCTAAGAAGATGAAAAATGGCCTTATCCAGAGGACTAGCACATCTTGTTCGCGCAAAATCCATTTGGTCTTAGAAACAACGTGCGAGGAAGAAACCATACCAACGTAAAGCGTATATGTTGGCACGCTTGTACGCTGTTTCTATGGCATTAATGCTTGAGCATTCCTTTCAAGTGTCAAATAGTAAACATAATAATTAAAGTTCATTCAATGAAGCTTTCATTTTAGCCTCAAACATTTTAGCCTCAAACTGTTCCTTTTGTAAACTGTTACTTTCTTTCTTAATTTCCTGTGCCAGATATGACGGTGACATAGTCGATGAGTTTCATTTGGAAAAAGCAACTCATTATATAACAAACAGCCAGGTTAGTACCTGAAAAAATAGTAGCTCTTTCTATGTTGTAGCTTGTGGTCATTGACTTGATATCAAGGCTTTTGAAGCTTGGGAATTCCTTTCATATTTGGATTTTGAAGCTTCTATCTCAAACAAAACGGTATCTGTTTCAGAGCAAGAGACCGTTGAAACTATAGTAAAACCGGTAGTATGAATTGTAAGATAAATTGGTATTACGTAAGACAGATTGTTATTTTTGTTAACAGCTCTTCATACAATGCATCGTAGATGATTACGAGGTGAAAATTTCATTGCCACGATGTTATTTTTTGATTTCCATGAATTAATATCCTTCTGAGTTTAAAAATCTTCAATGATAAATCATAGCCAGAATCAATCAACTGCAAACATTGCAAAATTTTTAGGGGAAAATTCAGATATCGAAAAGGATCTGAACTCCCCCAGTTTTCCCCTCCCCCAGTTTCTCCCCTCCCCCTATTGTCTAAACGTACTTGTCAAAGATGTTAAATTTTTTGTTATGCTATTTTATTGAAAATTCTTTCCAATTTAAGATATACGCTGAAGCTCTTATTTGTGAATTTAGAAATTTTTAGCTTAAGCACTAATAACATCGTTGTAAACATTGATAAATGAATAATTATGGTGATGACAAATCTTGGCTAAAGTTTCTGTAGACAAGTACGCAGCCTTATCGATTTCAACTGCTTCTGTAGTAGAAACGTTTTTCTACCAAAAAATTATTTTATTTTGAAGGGAAGGGAGACAAACCTGAAAATGCCAGCAAATATCTAGCTACCGTCTTATCCGAGACCTGTGCCCGGTTAAAATAATTAGAATGGTAAAAAGTAAACGGGGAGACGAGGTTTTTGTTAGCCTGCGTCGCAGACCATATTCTGAAGACGCAGGCTAGGTTTTCGTAATTTCCTCTGACAACGAATAGCGTAGCTGAAGCTTGCTGTTGACAGAAGTTCTACCAAGGCATTCCACTGTAGAGCTGACGACTGCTTAAATTACGTCATCACTTTTGTAATCTTGTTGTTTATTTCTTATTCAGGTCAGCATTTCATCACATACTAGTGCAATACTTGTAAACGAGGATTGGGTTTGGGATTCAGTAAGGATTGCCGTTTTGCAGGACGAATCAAATTATTTCCCTGGGTCCATATAGCAAGATATATTATTTCACAAATGTGCCTGTAATGGAATTAAGTACCATTGCATATCTAAAATACCTATTCTGTTAAGTCCAAAATGATATTCTTTTGCTATGAATTATTAAATAGTCATTGAAATTGTATTTTAATGGTATAATGTTGCATTAGTGTATTTTGTAGTAATTTATTATGCAAAGGAAACAAAAGCAATTTCAATAATCAATAATTATTATTGCTTGTGTCAAAAATGTTGTCTTGACTTTTTTGATTAATGATAAGTATAGTGTGACCTGTGTTTAAAAAAGAATCATTAACTTTGGCCTAGGTGACAAGTGATCAGGAAGTGGGGAAGGGTCCTTATCACCCTTGAATCTACGTCTTACCCTCATCAAAATGGTTTTTATTCTCAAAATCATAGCTGTTTAAGTATTAATGATATTCTTTTTTCACAATTTTTCGTATCAGTAGTATTCGTACCAATCACTCTCAAAACCTGGCAGATTAAGAGTGCCTTTGTACCCTTAAAGCTTAAGAAATAAATGATTCTGCTTGAGCTTTATGGAAAAATGGAAAAGTGATTAATATTCGAATGCAAGGTATTTACCACTTCTGCTACTTTGTGGATTAAAATGAGATATTCGTAAGATTTTGTAATTCTTTTGCCATAAAATTTTCAAATTGAAATTGAAATGCAAGTTTGCAGATTTGAAATTTGTCTGTCGGTAAAAACCATCGGTAATAGCTATCGACAAAGACAATTGGCAAGAGCTATTTACAAGGGCAATCGGCCTGTGTGTGTCATGTTATTTTTTTGCAAAAACAATATTACATATAGCTTCTAAATAATTAATTAAAATCCGCAATGCATGATGTATCAAAGGAATATTTTATGGCAAATGGGACACCAGAGGTTTAGCTGATGTGCAACACAGAAGCGCCAAAATCTTGTTTCCAGTTTTTTGAAAACAGTTTTTTAGAGTTCAATACTTAATAAAAGAATAAAATCAATTTTTGGACTAAAGATCTGCTATATGCCCCTTTGAATTCTGTTAAAAATTTTCTGTCATAAAAAACTGGAGATGCTGCTCTTGGGCAGACACCGAGATACCGCTGAATGTGATTGATCAAGTTGCCTACCACAGGGTATCAACCCTAAAAAGGCAGTTCACTCTTTTTTATATACGAACAATTTTATAAGAACGCGAGCCTCAAAACTGGTCAAAAGATAAGAAAAAATTGAGAACAAACTGTGGCTGAGCTACTGTAAAATGCTCATCGAAAACGAGGGTTTTTAGTCATGTGTGGGTGCTTTTTCAGTGAGTTTACAAACTTGTAGGCAGAGGAAGGTGGTCTCACTCACTGTGTTGACAAATGAGGCCTGAACATCACCCTCGAGCGAAAAGGCTAGCAATCACACTGCTTACACTCTATTAATTTAAGAGCAGATTAAAAACAATCCAGCCTCAGATTTTCGAAAAAAATTGAAAACAGTCAGTCTGAACTTAAATTTACTGTGTGGAATAAAGAAAAAGTCACAGTAGCAGGCTGCTCACGGTAGCTTGCGGCGAAAAATCGATAAAATGTAGCAAATAAGAGAAAACGCAATGCGACGAGAATGAACAACAACAAACACAGGTAAATCAGTGGAGGCTAATATTTCGCCCCGGCATACGGGGCTTCATCAAAGAAAAAAAAACAATTTACTGCTGGTTATAGAATAAAACTGTAGCTGAATCAAGATAGGTTAATGAACTGCAAGTGAGGTTTGAGTTTTTCAATGTCCTGTAAGTAGGAATTCTACACTGTTTCATCGACAAGTATTGTTAATTGAAATAACTATTCTAAAAGGACTTCAAACATGCTTTTTGCTTTAGGTGTAGAATCCCAACGTAGCAAGAGAGCTCCTCCCGATTGATGCTTAGGTGTCATAAACGTGCAGTACTGAGAATGCATTGCGTATGAATGGCGGCAAAATCAATGTAGTGAAATTGATTAGACAGTTTGCAAATAGATACGCGAAGCTCGGTCAGACAGTTGAGTATGAAAGCGACTAAATATCAGATCCTTTTAGTTCTGTCCAGAAACACTGATATTTCCAGATTACTTCTCGAAATGTTGTTGTGTTACTTTTCAAAACTGAGATAGTACATTATATGGAATCGAAGAAGAAAACTATTTTGAAGAACTCATGTTTGGCACGTCGAGGTAAGGCGACGTAGGCCTTGCAGCAGTGTCTCACAATTCAACAATGATACCTAAAAGAGCTGAAGGAAAGGCTGCACAAAATGTAAGTTTACGATTTAATCTTTCTTTTTGAGGCAGTTTCCTTGTTTTGATGAATAAATTTCGAAGACTGAGATACGTTTTGTCGGGATATAGTGCCATTGAAGGTAAAATGTCGGGTAAAAAGCAATCGATAAGGGGAGACATGTCCGGGTATTTAATTATCCAAATGGCATGCATGATGCTGATACCATTTGATTATTTGACTTATATCGATTGAAATTTTAAGAAACGTGTGAATCAGTGCCTGAAATGGCTTACACGAAAAGCTAGTTCAGTTGCATAATTTGGACATTTTAAGAAAATGTTGGCCAATTACTTTCAAGGTCAGCATTTAGGAACGGATATTTAGGACCAAAAACTGATTTTGTGAGACACTTTAAATTATCTAGTTTTACATCGGATTAACATCATAAAATAGTTAGCTAATTGGTATTGAGTAATTCTCTTCATCTTAGCTACTACGTCATTGCGGAACCTGACGCCATTTGATTATAGTTAATGTGTCAATAAACAAAAGGAAGACATGATTTAATTCTTGATTCAGCATTCCCGTAACCATATTTGATCATATTTTCGGTCTCAGTGATTGCATGATCCAACCTAACTGATCGCACGATCTTTCTTTATTGATAACATGTTTTGGCTATGAGGGTTACACGATCTAATTCAATATTGTAAAACACACGATGTATCATGATGGAAAAACAATTTGCTATGTCCTTTTTTATCAAATTTACAAATTTTGATGGGACGTTGCAGTTTAAAAAGAATTTTGAAAATGTTTTCGGGATGTCAATTTTCTAGATATCGTTTCTTTACTATTAAAGCTCGATACCCGATTTTGTTTTCGAGTGCATCATGCGTGACATGAACACTAGGGCGATGTAAATAGTTTTCTTCGCAATGTCATTCTTCAGCGGATTTCCTGAATTAATGCTTCGTATTTATGATAATGGTTGCGCCAAATTGCTATAAATGTTTCAACTCACTGATGCTAAAATAACTTTCACTAGATGTTGTAGTTGATTGGACCCAATTTTATTCGCGAAATTTCAAACTTGCCTCTGTTTCTCGATAGCTGCAACTGTCATGTTTTCATTCTGCTTCATTCTCGAATTATTCAAATGACTCAATGAGTTGTGCCTTCATATTAATGGATAAAAATTTCTATGGAGCCTATTCTGCAAACCCCTTTTTCGGGTTCACCATTGTTTTCTTTCATAATCCGGCTCGGCGGACCACTCGATTCAAGCAACTCCGTATCCTGAAACGGAGGTATAGGCCAGGGATATATTCCTCTTACACAATTTATGTGCAGTCATTCTGTAATAAAATGGATGACATCGTTGTTGAACCAGATCGTGATTCGCTTAAGCGGAAGAGTTTCAAAAAAAGGAAGTTACCTTATGTATCAAGCTACTTATTTGCATTAAAGCTTTGAAATATAATTTCAAATTCGAGGCCATGACTGTAAATTTTGCCCAGTGAATACTGCTTTTTATGCAAAATTAATCCAATATACCCCGAGGTTGAAAACGAACTGACTTGTCTACACAATAGCGGTATTTTCAGTTTATTTACAGGAAAATTCCTTAAAGAAGATTTTCGAAAAAAATTCACGATAGCTTCTGACTCTTGACTAGCTACCAATTTATGGAAAAATCTCAGAAGAATTGCTTGGGCTTGAGTGGCCCTGGACTGGATTTGGAAGTCCAGAACGAATGATTTAGACCCAAGAATCTGTTTCCCGTACGTAGTGACAGTACAAGAAATTTACTGAACAATGCTTGTGGAAGATAAAAGATTTTGCAATAACTATTTGCGATGCAATAAGTAAGAAAACATTGATATACTTTCAAGTTCCTAATTGTAGGGGGGTACACTCCATTTTTCAGAAATTTTGCATACCCATCTCGTTATACTTTAAACATAATTTCGGAAAATCTAAGCATTTCAATCGTATATGCCCCCTATTTCGGGCTTTTTAAAAAATGCCAACCTCCTTATTAGACCCCTTCCCCCCCCTCTACAATTAGGATCTTGAGAGTACCACGATCAATCCAAATATATCGTAAACATATAAGCGTTCCCTGGCTTTTAACTGGTCACATTTCCTAAGGATGCGATTAAACTAACTGAGATTGCACCAGTGGCGAATCTAGACAAAATTTTGAGTGGGTTCCTATATCGGCGTGGTTCCAGATTTTTCTGGCAACGCCTTTGATTTTCGCCCTAAGTCGGACAACGCCTATTTCGCTTTGGTTAAGATTCACAATTGCAAGATTTAATTTTAACAAGATGAAATATCATTACAGCCTGATTCCAAGGCATGTAAGAAATATAATTCTGTAATCCAAGCCAGAAGCTGTCATTGTGAATTCTAAAAGGAATGATTTCGATTTCTTGCCAAATAGCTGCTACAGCAAGAGATAAACTCACCGACTATTGCAAGTTTTGAGTAAATTCATGCTATACATATTACCAAATAATAAACAAGGTAAAATGTAAAAAAAAATCAGCAAGTGTATCTAGAATGGATAACAATGAACAAAGCCTTATATCATATATAGCAAACCAGCCCAATTATTCCAAGTGCAAATTATGGTATATGAAATCATAGTTTCCTAAAGTCTTTCATTGCATCTTAAGTTCTTACTCTAAAGATACTTATATTACATATACGACTTCCAGAGTTCTATAAACTTTGCACATCAAATAGAAAATGTCTTCAACACCCCCGAGTTTCCTGCCAAGAATTCTCTCCCGCTTATTGTAACATCTCGTGAATATCACTTTACAAACATCTAGCTTTTCAAATTGACTTTCGTCTGACCCATGAGCAACGAAACTGTGACCTGTCTTATGCAGGTTAGTTAGGCCAGTCAAGAAAAATGAACACCTAGTTAGCGAGGCGTGTTGGAAAAGTACTGTTGAAAATCCATAGGATATATCAACACAGTCCTTAAATTTCATTGAACCTCACGCGCTGGCTGCTTCACGTTCGAATGCTGCTCTCGCCGTTTGTAAGTTGGGTTCCAAAAGGGTCCCTTTGTTTGTGGCACAAACAATGGAGGACAATGGATTGCCATGGCTACGACAGGGTTCCTTTTTAAAAGAATACAATATGATACAAAGGGCTGCCATGGCTACGACGGGGTTCCTTTGTTTCTCAATACCATATATAGAGAGTGCCAAGGCTGTAGAACAAGAGCCCATTTACCGTCAAAACTCGTTGCGATTTATTCTAAAGTAAAGAGAAAACTGATGTTATCTGTCTTGGGAAAATTTGACAGGGTTCCAGAACCCTTGGAACCCAGTCTAGATCCACCATTGCATTGGACTGCAGTTGAAGCAGCAAACGGTTTTTATCAACAACTAGTCAGTGTAAATTTGATAGATTCTGACTTTGGGAAACGCAGCTTTGGGATTAAACAAAGAAACAAGTACGGTGACATCCCGGGTGACATAAAACACATCGTGATAGTAGTATTCCAACTTCCATTCTCGTCAATAGAAGTTAGTTGTCCCGTACTTGTTATTTGTTTAATCAATATAACTTTATGTATTAAATTAATAAGTTCTATAAATTAGTATTAGTATTAATGTAAAGAATGTAAGACAAATGTTTTTATTTATCTTGCACAGTTTTTTTTCATAACGCCATTCTCTAATTTGAAAATATATATACCACTTCGTAATCCATCCAAAGTAAATACCTATTCGATTTATTGATTGCAGTTTCATTAAATCATACTTTAAAATATCTACATCTAATCATATTTCTAAAATTCTTTTTAATACATGAGCTGGAAGTGCTTCCCAAATAAGAAGTAAATTGTCTTCGAATTGATTGAATTTCTGTGCAGCATGATGTCTGGCTTTGCTGTTCCTAATTTCTTGATTATGATCTTCAGCATCTTTTAAAACATTGTGTCTATCTTGGCATCTTTTGATGTCATTTGGCCAAATTTTGCCCATATCTAGAGGCCTTTCTGTTTGAGATTCTTTCCTTTTAAACGAAGATTCTGGCTTGTCAGCTGGCAGGGCCCCTGTCAAAAGACACAGGCCCTGATCTTTGTCACAAAAAGCAGTTAGGTTCACCTTTCTACCTGTAGTAACCACAAGCCGTGCGGGGTTCCCACCAGTGTTAGGAAATGAAATGATGGATCGCACTTCCATTTTGTATGGCCTGATCGCTGTCATAAAACAGTGTTGGCCACTACTTTCTATACTGTATATTAAAATATACCCGCTGCCAGTACCAGCCCATAGTGTGTCGTCCACAATACAAAAGCAAGTAATACTTTGACCATATAAATCAATGGTAGGCAGCAGTCGCCCTATTTGCTGCCATGTACTTATTTCTCCTATGTATTCAATAGTGTTGGTTGAGAATATACTAATGGTAGGGCTATTGTAATACGAAACAGTCAACAAATTGTCACATAATGAAACTCCAATCTGTGAAATTGTCTCGTCGTTTGGCTCCCTTATATGCTTAAAATGTTCCAATGCAGACACAGAGTACACGTATAGGTACTTGCCGCAGCCAATAAACAGGTTATCTTCACTTATACTTGTATTTATTGCCGTCACCGCAAATTCCTTGTTTACTGTTACAAGATCTTTGCCTTTTAGTTCTCCTGTTAGGAATTCAGCTTTGCCCATTTTCAAAACGTTGCCATCTTTAAAACCGATAAAGACATGATTGTGACACATTTTCATTGAACTTATCCACCTGTATTCCAACTGATGCCAACTGACATTCCGCTCTTCTTTCAATGAATAGATGAGAATGGAATCAAACTTGCATCTTGTATGCATTGCAATATAATCATCGTTAACTGCATGTATCGATACTACCATGTTAGCATTTTTCAGGTATTTGCTAATAGAGCTTCCTTCAGAACAAAACCGTTTCTTAATACTCGATGTTAATGGGTCAATAACAATTAAAGCTGCACCCTTGCTATCTTGACAGCTGATCCAAACATCTTTGGAGCATTGTATGAAATATAGGTAACAGAAGCTTGCTATACCTCTCAGAGGGATTTTGCCATACAAAAGGCAGAAGCCGGGCGATTTCAGCTGCAATTTGATTTCTTGTGAGGTAGGTCGATTTGTTGCCACTTGTGCCCATGCCTTTGTCATCAGTTCTGTTAACGTAAGCAAGCTGAATTGTGTGGCAATGACGTCATTGATTGTGGGTCGTTTTCCTGCTTTTACTTCGTCATCTCTTTCGAAATTATCTTGGGCCAAGTAAAAGGGCCGTCGTTTGGTTATCATTTCGTAAAGCACCATGGCGAACGAGAACACATCAACTTTGGCATCATACTCGTGCATACCACAAAGTACTTCTGGAGCAATGAAGCCTGAAGTGCCTTTCCGCAACTTTAGGCCAACTGGCGAAACGAGATTTGCGGAGCCAAAATCGGCTAACTTTACATTTACGCGAATGTCACTTTCCAAGGAGAAAACAAGAACGTTATCAGACTTCAGATCCCTGTGAATAATGCCAAGCGAATGAAGATAGGCTAGCGCACAGATAATTTGCTGCGCCATCCGGTAGACAACTATTCTCGGAATTTGAAGCTGCGGGGCTTTTAGCACCATCCTTAAGGAGCCTTTGTTGGCCAGTTCTGTCACCAACATGCAATTGGGATAGCGTAATCCACCGTAGAATGGTATAACGAATGGACACTCTCTGCACCTTGTTAGCATACATGCTTCTCGCCGCATTTCGTAAAGAACTTCTAATGCAAGACTAGGAATATCCTTAACGGTTTTGTACACCTTGATAGCAACGGATCGACACCCTTGCTTTCCACTGTATACTTTCGCAAATGTTCCAAAACCAAGCAAATTTTCTTCCACTGTAATAGTGTTTATATTGTAGCTCAGGTCATTCAAAGGAAGCTCTGGAAAAATGTGACATAGCTTGATATTACGTGGACTGTCGTGATTTTTGCACACAAGGTGATCTTCTACGGACAGACATTCATACACATCAAAAAGATGAGGAGGTTTCATGCCGTAATCAAGGCAGATAGGACATGGAGCTAATTGAGACATCTCGCGAACTGACATGTCCCGATTCCATTCAGTAACTACTGAATATATATGTTCTAGCATAAGCGAAAAAGCTTGAAAACCAATGCTTGAATGGGACACTTTTGTCTCAACTAGTTCCCTTGCATTTTCTCCTCTTCGCACTACGACCGACAGAAAGAGATCTGGATGATTTAAAAGAATGCCTTGACGCCAAAATATGAGCTTCTTCTTACCAATGAGAGCAAAGATGTCAATGTTTTCCTTTTGTAGTTGCTCGTCTTTCTGTTTGGTAGTCTCTACTTTTACATCACCTTTGAAAGGTGCCTGTTCAATATCCAACCAGGAATCCTTAGTTTCTTCATCTTTTCTATTCGAAAGAAGGCTGAATATTTCGTTGAAACAGGCTGTGAATCTGCTTATAAGTCGCGTCCAGAACCCATGTGATATACGGGGAAAAGAATGTATTCGTGTAATGGTTCTGCCTGGTTCTTGCAAGCCAAAGAAACCAACAGGGTTCTGTTGAGGCAGTTTTGAGAAGATAAGAAATCGATGCTCGCTAATTGAACAAGCTACTTGGAATCGATGAATAAGCCGTGTTAAATTCACGTATAAGCTGTTATTGGAGAGGAGACATTCGAGGTCTTTGCAATGCAGAATACCATGGCTGTTCTCACATTTGTCGCTGATCATCCTGACTATAAGCTGACAGAGCCAGGATGGATTAATGAAGTACATGTCCCCAAGATTGCTGCAGGGGTCTTCATAATGCAGTACAATACCTGTAACAAGTTAGAAAAATACTGATAACAATTCCGAGGCATGTTTGAATATAATAACGACATCGGGATTTCGTTTTACGATCAAAATTTGTTTGTCAATTGTACAGTAGAGATGATAAAATGGGTCATCAGCAAGCTTTCCAATAAATCATTCAACAATGAAATAATTTCCTTTGGAATTAGATTTGATTCGCCAATTTTCCTCGGGAGTTAAAATTTAGCTAGGTAGTGTAGATTATAGATTGTCATCATTAAATTTGTATATTTCTGTGAGCTTACTCAGGGCTGTTATCTGTCACAATTTAAACGTATGGATAGAGCTATAGCTTGCTTTTCGGTTGGAAATGGCCCATCCCCTACCTTGCCATATGGACCTTAGTAAACATTTGATCAAAGAAACAGAGATTTATATTCTTGTAATATGCTTTATTTCTACTTTATTTATTTCTCAACTTTCAGCGAACGAGGGCCTGGGAGATATAATCAGTTTTCTTTAACCTTCCCGTTCGGAATATCATTTTGGCAATGCAGTATTCAGAAATGCTAGGGGCATTGACAAACGCATTCCTGGTCTTGGAGAAAGAGTCTGCGTGGCTTCTTATCCGATACAAAAGTTCTTTAAAACAAGGGGGCTTACTTGAATTAAACAGATAAATTTTGAAATGCCAGCGTGAAAAATTTGAGAAAGACAAATCTTTTCGATACTCAAGGATATTCTGCATACTAACCTATTTCGTGTAAGAGTTTTGTGATTTTCATTAGATCATCTGGATCGCTGTAATCTTGCGGGTATTTCTTTGAATTATCTTTCAACATGTTTTCGAACTCCGCTTTACTTAGTAAAGGCAGCTTGGCTTCTCTTTCAAGTTCAGTTACTTTTTCTTTAACCAACTTGGGCACGCTTAAATAGCTTTTTGGTATCAGCTCATCCATTGCAATTGGGCCGTATTGGCTTTCACCAAGAGTTACTTCTGAAGCATTTTCGAATATCAATGTTTGCAGTCTTTTTATTCCTATAAAAGACGATTGGAGTTATTTCTAGGTGACATGCAACATTAAAGCCTAAAACCCACTCTGGAAAACGATCCGCGGATCGGATCAGATTGGAATGCACGTTGACATTTATCTCCACGGGTTCCTTGCCTCATAACGCAAGTCCTCTATTGTTTAAAAAGTTCTAATTCGATTTTGATCAAAAGAAAACTATTGTACCGGAACGGTTCAAAAAAAAGTTGAAATGATTTAGGGTTCTTAGGGTTCACTTAGGGTTCACTCAGTAGTCATACTATAGCGTAATGAAGTGATAGCGTCCGAAAATCTTTTTTTGAGTATTTCGAATTTCAACCATATTTGAATCACTAAAGCCAATGCACCATTTGGTAAGAGATGTCACAGTCGCATTACTGAATAATCTGGCCATTAATGTAGTGCGTTTTCCAAAGAGGTCAAAATTGCTGCCCCTATGGCATAATTTCAAGTGTTTCCACTGGACTTTTTGCTTGGTTTTGTCTCTTCGTTTATTTACTCGAGTAGCTCTTTTCCGCTAAATTTCAAAACACAAGAAACTATTGCAAGTAAGATCAGCGATTTGAACTCGACTTGTGTAGACAGAAAAAGTTTGTTTTCTTTTATGGAAACTTCACTCAGTTTAGCGGCTGCCGATTGGACAAAAACAAAGGACCAACTAAGCGCGCTACTCCTCCTCTTGCCTTACGTCGCGACAGGAGTCGGATGAAACAAAGATAAGCACACTATGTTTCTATTATTCTGTGCTATCTTGCTATCTTGAATTCCTTATATTCTGTGCATGGGATACCTATGGCTTATTTGCACCATTATTTATCACTTTTATTGCAAAGAGTGTATTAGAATTTCTCAGTATTGGCGTTAATACTAGAGTTAAAGGAAGTTAATGTACCCAAACTAGAATCCTCTCAAATGTTATCATGACGTCATCAGTTATATCTATGCGAGTAAGGTTAGGAAGAAGTCCATTGGCCTTAGAGATTAATCCTATGGTTCAGGCATAAGGAAAATACTCACTTGCTTTGCATTCTTTTACATCTTCTGCAAGTACACTGTTTGTAAGCATTAGCACCATAACGCATTTAAGCCTTTCGTACTTCGACACCAGGTCCCAAACTCTTGAGTTCATCGTATCGTCAAATCCAAGATCTCTTCTACGACCAGCAATTTTATCCAAGTGTGTACCAATAATAATCACATGGGAATGAGGTGCCCAACATTGCAAATTATCAAGCCAAGGCTTTAAACTATCGATTCCTTTGTTTTCTTCTTTTACGTTCCATACCGCAAGATACAAAGTGCGTTGAGTGAGGAAGCAGTTGCTGATGGCACAGCAGTCATTATGACCAGCCACATCCCAGCAGTTAAATGCATACTTGTTTATATCGATTCTTTGAATATTTATGCCTTGAATAAAGCAAATTATCCATGAGACTCTACTCAAACATGATTAACGATAGACGGTACCACGGCAGAAGCTACAAAGATCACTCAGGAAAGTAAATATTAGCAAGATCGGAAAGATTTTTCCTAATTCTTCAAAAGGCAAGAGCTCTTATTGAGAGAAAAAGTTAACGAAAGACCTTATCACACAGGGAAAGCCCTCCTGCATATATACACATAGACCTAGAGGAAAAATCTTAATATATAAAGAAATTTGTTAGAACAGACGACCAGTTACGAAGATCCCATTTGTTGGCAAAGATGAAATTCCTTCATATGGAAACGATCAATATTAATTACCCGAGTTCCTGATTGCTTCCAGGGCTAATTTTCTCATCCAAGATCTTTTCCAATTCGCACAGTGCTGAATTAGACTGAATTACGGCAAAGTTTTTTGACTGCAAATTTAAGTCAAACTAAATTTGTGATGAAAGTTTCGTATATACTCAGCACTGTTATTCTTTTTCTTTCTATTTTGTAGCTCCTGGAATGCTCTTAATCCCGAGATCAGCTGACAAGGAAGCTGTAGTTCCTATGTATCTAATTCCTAACCAAACGTGTCACACAGAACTACACGAGCCAAGATGGAAGTTTACAAAAGGTTATCAAATTTTCTCCTTGAACATTAAAGGTAACAGTTTATCCCAATTAGTTTTTTCATGTATCGAGGTAGAAGGTCTTTTTGTCAAGAGAACATATGTTGTCCCCCCCTTTTACTTCTTAAAAAAGGCAGGTGTGGCATGATTGCCCCCTCAGTGCAAGTACTTTGTCCTTATCTAGCTGCAGATATATCTCTTTTACAAAAAGAAAAACTGAGCAACAGATTCCAAAGAAAAATAACAAATAATATCTCAACCTACTCTCAGTCGCATTGTTTTGCTTAAAAGTATAATCATTGTCCAGGCGGTGCATCAGTGTGGTCTTTCCGACTCCGTTCTTCCCCAAGATCATCAGCTTCATGGTATAGAAAGGTTTCGTGTCTCTCAGCTTTCCCATTAGGTAGCTTATGATTTCTTTCGTCGAGCCTCGTTTGCTTTTTGGAGGGTCTGTCAGCTGTTAAAAAGGAGCAGATAATGGTAGCATTGAGAATCACATCTTTATAAAGAGCAGAGCAGCGAAACAAATTAATCGCACGGTAAAAGCAGATAGATATTTGAACTATCTAATAGTTAGAGGAACTTCGAGCGTAAATTTCCGACAAGTTCTCTACAGATTTGGACTTTCAGGGATTTGACGAGTGTCTAAAGGAAAAGAGAAAATAAATACACAATAATTTTGGCATTTATCATTCAACAGTAGTTCAAACAATTTCAAATCTAGTAGCCAAAAAAGCCTTATACCATTGAAGAGTGTTAACTTTTGAGAAGTTGCACGAAATCAATAACATAGCTTGACAAGTGTGTGGGAGAAGGGAAGCAGTCATTTTAGGCCGACGATCATTTCAAACTTCGAAGCTGAAATACCACAAAAGTGGCTGCTAAATATACTCGATTTTATAATAAACAAAGTTTGCGTTCGTCGTTTTCGCTGAAAATTATGGACGTGGTGCCCCCTCATACCTATTTTGTATTTATTTCCTTGATGGAGACATACCTTTACCATGTCTTTTATTTCAAGATATCCCAGATTTTTCAACTTTGCAAGGTCTGGTGGAAGAGCTTCAATATACGAATTGCCACTAAGCCAGAGACTTTTTAACGAGCCTATATTCCAAATACAATCTGGGACATAGGCCAAGCGGTTTCTTGCCAAATTCAATTCCTGCAAATTGGAATCTGCGATTGAATCATCAATTGTTGTTAGTTTGTTGCCGGATAAATTCAGGTATATAAAAAACTTGCTCCAACTGCTAACAGGAGGAAAAGCACGGATTTCGTTGTCTGTCAGGTCAAGCCATCTTAGACTAGGCATGTTGAAGATCTCATGTGGTATTTCGCAGATTTTATTGAATGATAAATCAAGTCTTGTTAATCTCTGCATCTTCAGCAACACTGTTGGAACATATTGTAGCTTATTTTCTGCTAATGACAAATTTTGAAAACTTTTGATTTCTAAGAACCATCCAGAATATGCTTCTACCAGCAAAAGTTGGCTCCACACTGCACTTTGCTCTTCTTTATCATTAAAGAAATAGTGCAAAAAGTCTTTGACAAGATTGAAGGCACGTCTCTTGATAGCAAACCTTGTCAGTGACCTTTTGAATCTATCGTCAATTGACTTAGCATTTTGTCTAATAAAGAAAGTAAAAAATGTTATTGATCGGAAAAAATATATTCATATTAAGTTATCAGAAAATACATCACATTACACTTTTTTTTATAAGAACCAGTAAATTTATGTTATGGCTGACTGTTCTTAATTTTTTCGAAAATCCGAGGTTGGATTGTTATTAATTTGTTCTCAAATTAATAGGGAGTAAGCAGTGCGATTGCTAGGTTTTTCGCTGCAGGGAGGGATTCAAGCCTGATTTGCCAACAAAGTGAGTGAGACAACCTTAATTTACCGGCCAATCTGAATATTTACCGAAAAAGCACCCACACATGGCTAAAAATCCTCGTTTTTGAGATGAAACATTGTTAAAAATTGCATTTTACAGTAGCTTGTTCTTAACTTTTGACCATTTTTCAAGCTCGCGTTCTTATAAATTTTTCCTATAAAAAAGAGTGTAAATACATTCAGAAAAATTATAGGAGTATTATTTAGATAGGAATTTTAAGCCTGCTGCTCCTGCTTACGATAAAAATCGTCGTCCATCCTCTGTTGCAGGATGGGAGCCCTAAAACCTTGGACAGGCGGTGTTGAGATTTTCACCCTCCATCTCCAAGTCCAATGTTGATATTTCTCCAGAAACCAATGTTTGTGATTAACAGCATTCAGTGAAATGAAATGAAACGAAACAGATCGAAATTTGTTCACGAATTTGACAAAATTTTAAAGGGTTGATTTTAAAGGACTGAACTGACTTTCAAAGACTTATTTCGCCAGCTCGTTTAGTTTTTTTCTTTGTACTATTTCGTTTTGTTCCCTTTCATTTCTTTTCATTTCGTATCATTAGTTAAATGAAATAGGCCTAGTTTGAATAACGTTGAAAAACAACAAAAGAAACAGAAAATATGCAAATAATTGCAAAAGATGTTGACAAATCGGTACCTAAGGCTATCAAGCATTTCTTTAGTGAAAAATTCCATCTGTGACTTTGAAAAGTAGGTTTGCAGAACAATTTTTGCATGTTGCCATTGGCCATGGGTGTCTGCAGCATCGTCTTGAGACAAAATCATATGCGGCACTTGTCTATCATTTCTTAAAACTGCTATGTGTAGCAGAAAGAAAACTGCTGTCTGTTTCAAAGAAGGTTCTTGAAACATCGAGTTAAAAAAGCGAACTCTGCGGTCTCCATAATGAGTCATAATCCACTCCAAAGAGTTCATACAATTGTTATCTAAAGCTAGTTTCAATGCAACGCATCTAAATTTTCTCTCAGAGCTTTGAACTCCTCTGGTTCTTGTTTATTCTGGATGACAATAAGTTTCAATTCTAAAAAAAACGGATTTCAATTCAGATAAGAAATGATAAAATTTTACAATTTTCTATTCAATTTCAGATTTCTAGTATTTTTGACGTAGTAATCTTCCTCATGTAGTAATCTAACTCAGAGTTGATATAAAGGCTCTTTACAAGAAATGTGGCAAAATTATTTAGCATAGTAATTTCATAAAAAAGAGTTATCTGGCATAGCATATCATACTGGGTTGTAGCAAGAGGGAAATTATCAGTTGGTGATTTTTTTATCTAAGATTCTTCTAGCTTCTATACCTTATGGATATTGGGAAGAACATTTTAACAGAGAGAGCATTTCTGCAGCAACCCTTCAGAAAATTTTTCTCTTAAAGCATACCTTCTGTTTTGAGATGCCTAGCTGCTCTGTTTTTCCTTGTTTGTTTTGCAAGTTTGTATGGAGTATTACCAAAGTTATCAGCTAAACTGGTGTCCGCTGAAAATTTCAGAAGTACTTTAATGCACTCCATGTAGCCAAGTACAGCTGATATGTGAAGAGGTGTATATCCCCCTTTTGCCTGTGCATCAACATTTCCACCATAGGATAGCAAAACTTGCAATGCATTATGATTGTTCAGCCGAACAGCTTCGTGGAGTGAAGTATTACCACTGAGGCCAGAGCAGGGCATATTTATAAGCAATTCTTTTTCAGGTTCATCTTTCAGAAAGCTTTTTAATTCTTGTAGATATTTGCTTGCACAAAGTTTATGCAGATGATCACGTCTTTTCCAGTCAGCCATTCTACCAAAAATAAGAGGAAAATTTAGGATTAATTTTTATTGGTATTTACTTAAGATTTTTATTTGACTTCTTCTCTGGTGCTCTCAAGGATATCTAACAATGCACTTCAGTACTTGGAAAATTCAGATAAACTAACTGGAATTCAGGAGTATCATCTTAGAATCAACCAATCTAATGTTGATGAATGTCTTGGCTAAACAAATCATTATTGTTTTTAGCTATAATTGCCAACTGACTATTCTCTGGGTATGGAAACCTTGATTTTACAAGTAATATTAAGGGGTAACACCAATTACATCTGAATTTGCTTAGAATGAGCAATTACATCTAATTTAAACTTGTATTCTTCTGGCAAATTGTGTTATTATTTCTTAAAATATCACGTTTGATTGACATTCCATTGTTCCCTATTGCAATGATCACATTTGTTATTATCATTAAATTAAACTGAATTATTGAAGCTTGACATTGCATCAGGCTGTGATATTTTTGGATATGATTTTGAAATATGGACCATTTATAGCATTCTCATTTTGTCCTGTTTTATAATTCCACAAATTTTCAGAAAGACTGGAACAGGAGTTGTATAAATATGCCACAGCAACTTTTCCCAAATCCTTTAGGAAATTTTGCCTTTTCCCATTTAAATTATTGCTTCTGGTACCCAGCAGAATAACTGGAAGAATTAGCAAATATGAGAACAGATATTGAGTCCCTCCCTACAACACAAAGAGCACTCTGCATCAGTCATTTAAATAACTTCTTTTAACTTTACACCCGTATCTATCCTTCTTGTAATACCCATCTTTTCACTCTTTTAAGCAAATTGATTGATGTAAAAATTATAATTTATACAAACAAGATTGCACAAGGAACACCTGTTGGGTGACTTGCTGCTCTCTTTAGCAAGTAAATATCGATGGCTGTGGCTCTTTACTGGTGAGCTCCTTCTAACAGGAACACCACTTTCAGGATCAAGATCCAACAATCATGTTCCATGATTTGTTTTGATTTTGAATTGAATGTCGTTACCAACCAACATCAAGGCATCAAGTTGCAAAATTCTGCTGACACGTTTGACATAGCCACTAGTTTGGCATTGCTTCCTTCGCTGCCAGACAACTAAAGTGATAACGTTAGATGAATTCTATATTGACTACATTGAGTTCCTATCTCAAAGCGATTTCATCTATGAACTTTAGTCAAAAATCTCTAAACTTTCCTCTTATAAACAGCAGTTCCAAGAATTTTGTGAATGCTGCACTTCCGCTTTCGATGTCTCTTAGCTGTCAACGCAAATGGGTGCGACGGGTCACCCACTGACCACGAGTTCGAGAGTTTACATTTCACTTGAATCCAGTTGAGCCACAGGGGGGCCGGGGGGCGGGGGGCCATGCCCCCCACTTTTCTTGCTAACTCTGGGTAATAAACCCTCTTTTTGACCCCCACCCCGCTTTAGAATCGGTGGCGCGGGCCTTTTTGGATGGAGTGGATATGATACGGACTCCGCTGAAGGGAGGTGCCTTATACTATAAACGCCCCTCCCCCTCCAATATGGGCGGCGCTAAAGAATTTCACAGGGGGATATCAAGCGTCAGGTTGCCTAGAAGAAGATTTTTCAATCAAATAAAATAAAGACAAACTGTGGTGTCGACAGATAGAAGGGACGTTCTCCTCCTTTTACTAATTATTGACTTTGTGATCTTATTGTTAGCGTTCATAAGAATTTAAAAGTTTTGATTCATTTTGAAGGTCGGCTCATTATTTAAAACCCTCCGTTTATCCCAGCCCTTAAAGCACCACTCTAAATTATATCTTAATAATAGCAGCCTAAAGCAACATCATAATAAAAAAATAAAGCCTTGGCTTATATAGTTTCGTTTGACAACGTAGTGATCTCAGCGATGAAATAGTAATTAGGCACAGGCACGCAAGGCCAGCCGTAAAAACGAATATTAGACGAGGCTTTCCTTTAATAAATTTGCTTTGATATCCGAAGTGTTTTTCAGTTGAAAAAATCCCGTACACCCGCAAGAAACCCTTTAGAAATGCAAATCCTCTATCATTGCAGACCTGCATTTAAACAATACATTACAATAAAAGACAGTAAAAGGCAATATAACACAATACAAACAATAGCAATACAATCGACCACGACAATAGCAATACGTCGTAGTCCCATTCCATTCCTTAAATTACGTCACAAAAGATCAATTCTAAGAATTTTTGAATTTGGATACAATAACCTGACAGAGCACCATGAAGTACCGCTTAACATGAAAGATCAGATGCGGATTGGGTTCGAGATGGCCACGAGCACAGGCTATAATCTGGGACAAAAATAGTTTAGACTTTTAAAGTAAAATTGATGTTTTCCATATCCTTTGAAAAATAACATTTCTCTCCCCCGATTGAATGTTGAATGCATGATTTTGAAGCAAAAATGGTCAACCAACAATATTGTTTTTGGTGGAAAATAGTGATTCGAATTTACAGGAGCAACGTAAAGTAGAAAATTGCATTTTGTCTCAACAATTTTGTCCGGAGTAAGGCTAGTCTTTCATTAATTGCAGAGACCATGTTCTCTGTACCTTGCAACCATTTAGCAAAATTCTAATCTTTCATTTGCCACATATAATTCATTTTTATATATTTAACCGATTTTGCTTTTCTTGAAATGTTTCATGGTTTTCTTTTAGGTTATGCAGTCAAAAATAGAAAAATATAGCAATGTAAATTTAAGGACGTCACACTTCAAGACGTCAAATTTTTCATGGCGTCACTCTCGAGAACTTTTCAAAACGTTTACTTCGTACTGTTGCTCAATAGTAAGTCATCTCAGCTTCGAAAAGATCACCGATTAGTTTACAATACATTTACACGTTTTAAATGGTATTTAAGAGTGTTTAACCTCCATGAAGAATCCCTGGAAATGTTTAAAAAAATCCCAAGAAATCCCCATCAAATCTGTTCGAAAATACAAAAATCCCAAAAATATCACTGTATCTATGTCTTCGTCGGTAAATTTTACTACTCATGACCAGTAGCGTAGCCAGGGTGGTAAGATTTGAGGGGGCAAAGGCGAGTTGGGACAGGGAAAATTGTGCGTACACACCCTTTTGAAAGCCAGAAAACGCACTTTTTCAAAGGAATTATTTAAAGGAATTAGCCATTGGGGGGCATCCGCCCCCTCTTGCCTCCGCCTCGCTACTCCACTGCCCATGACCCTTTACCCTCCAGTCTGGAGGGTCAAACTTCGCCATTTTTTCCACCATTTCCTACACATCTGAAGCGTTTGGCACCAAAATCAAATCTTTATCTTGAACCATCACAAATTTTCCCGCTAACACTCTTTTCTTCATAAGAACAATTTTATAAGAACACGAACCTCAAAATTCGTCAAAAGATAAGATCAAATTAAGAGCAAGCTGAGGCTGAGCTTCTGCAAAATGCAATTTTGAACAACGTTTTATCTCAAAGACGAGGATTTCTAGCCATATTTGGGTGCTTTTTCGGTGCATTTTCAAACTCGTAGGCAAATGAAGGTTGTCTCACTCACTTTGTTGACAAATGAGGCCTGATCACCTCCCTAGGGCGAACACTCCAGCCGCAGATTTTCGAAAGAATTAAGAACAGTGAGCCTGGACTTTAATTTACTGCTTCTTATAAAAAAGAGTGTATATCAATCGCTGCATATAGGGCCTCGACCGATTTCTACGTGCGGCCTACAAATTTAGCAATTGGTTTTCTGCGGATTGCGTTTTCAGCATAAGATGTCTTGCGTCTTTCGATGTAGATTGGTGACAGTTTACGGCTTTTAGGATCCGGTTGCGCTTGCAAGAAATAATACAATGAAGGTTTGAATCAACGCAACAGCTCGTTCTGTGTGTCAGAGGGAGACCCACAAGAACTTTTCATACAGTTACTTCTAGCAAAGTTTCCCTTTAATTTATAAGGGAGTATTTCACTTTTTGTGCCACGGCACATCTTGCCATCACGCACACTTCTTTGCGCTTCATTTCAATGCGGATTCAGGTATTGTTTGGTTGCCTTTTTGCCCGATTTCGCGGCTTTAGGATCCCCTATTATAGGCCCCACATATATCTTGACAGAAATATCATGAGCAGCTGAGAACAACTAAAAGCCTGACGAGTCTCGCTGAAACTTCCTCACATTGAATTTTTTCTCGAATGTTATAATTTATGGCATCTTATTTAAGAAACTCTTGAGAAGGGATGGATGAGTATTGGAATTTTCCTCAGCCTTAAAAAAACGGCTGTGGCCAATCTTTGCTAGCCTGAGCGTATCAAAATGCCGAAAAAATGTACCAAAAATAAACAGCACAGAATTACTTTTAAGTACTTACATATTTAATTTCGGGCTTTCTTGGGTTCTTATGAGAGAAAACCTAGAATGACGCATCATCGTTGAAGAATAAAAGAGAACTTAATTTTCAGCACAGGCTACCTGTTTCAAGCTGTTGTTACACATTCAATCTGGTTTTCCAGCCACTCGAAGCATTTCTGTTTAACCCTCTAACCGCCTTTTGTCGTTCCTCTACCATCGATCATTCTGTCTTAAAATGATGCTATCAGTGTTCTCCTTTGAAAAAAATCGATAAGAGAGAAAAACATTGGATCTCAGGTCGAAACCTTTTAACCAGACCTTAACATGGGGAAAGGTTAACAACATAATAAACGGGATACTGACACATTGTCACATATTGTCAGAATTGTCATCTTTTCACAGATATTCAGCATATGAGTTAGGAAGTGGACTATGACTGGTAGGGAGGTGGGTTCTGAGTGACAAAAGATTAGCGGACATCTGGATTTTGGTCAAAGACTAGCTTCGCCACAAATCAGAACTGCCAAGCATTTACCACATCTATAACACGACAAAAATATCAAGGTCAGTTGTGTTAGTGCATATTTTCGATATTATATTCAGCTTGGCTGAACTTGTGATACGCCCTGTTTCTATTCTTATGTTTACGTATTATTGTCGCGATTAGCAAACATGATCGCGATTATCAAACAAGATCGCGATTAGCAAACATGATCGCGATTAGTTGGTCGCTTTTCTTCGAAGGAAACGCTCGTCATCTTTCTGATACCCGTCTTCGAATACATTTAGTTTTTTTTATAAGAAACAGGTTATAAGAAACTGTAGGCTCAATTTTTCGAAAGTTAAGAAACAACCCTACTCAAATTGAAAAAAAGCTAAAAAAACTTTTATAATTTGCAGTTTTAATTTTCCAAGTTGACACTCGAAACAGTCTTGACATTGAACATCACTGTATATTGCAACACTACACTTGACATGCAGTTTGAATTCATTTTCAGTAAATTGCACACTCGAGAAGTTTCGGATTAAAAATTTGTTTTGACTTCAACTTGACATTGATGAAGTTCAATGAGCTTAACTATCTCAATAGAGTTAGTTTTTCAAGGAAAACAAAATTCCTTGATCACTTTGTTAGTTTATCTCTAAATATGAGTGCACTATCTACTCTATCTTGGAAGAACATTTAAAAAACTCAAAACCTAAGAAATTTAGGAAACACAGAAACACAATAAACTTTTGATAACAAAATGGCCAGAAAATTTAAGAAACTGCCTACCAGTACCGGACCTTAGTTTCTTATTAAAAAATGAGTGTATTATGTTGGGTCACAATATAAATTGAGTGTCATATGAAATCTTTGGAAAAAAGGAAGGAAAGAAGTTCATGCAATATGAAGACGTATTACGTTTGTGATTCTATTTAAAACATAAAAAGTCATACAATTACAAAAGTTACTTAGTATTTGTTTACGCGAATAAATTACAGGTAATGACAATTTAAGGGCTAGCAACGCGAATGGCATCATAACCATGGCACCATGTACTCATATTGAATTGGTTTACCTATTTACGGCAAATTTAGGAAAATGATTCATGAAATTTTGTCAAGAAAGCCATGATACCCTACTATTTTTCCAATGATTTTTACTTGATTTATGGCAAATTTACGAGAAAGTTCAATGGAAAATTGTCTAAAGAACCATAATACGATATCACTTTCAGATCAAATTTCTTATACATTTATGAAAGATCTACGATAAAATTTGAAGGAGAGTTGGCGAGGTTGATTTGAGCTCATTTGCTGACCCCAATTTCTGGTCTTGGAACCAATCTTATAATTTTCTAGGCATGTAAAACCTAGGTTACTTGTCTTTTTCTAATTATTGCTACTTTAGAAAATATTAAGTACAGTCCTGCTGTGTAGTTAGAGAGCCTAATAAGGGTAATAAGAATATCGAGAGGGTCATGGAAAAACTAAATAATGTTTTTAAAACCTTTTTAAAATAAAGTGAACATAATGACACCCTTTATTAGGGCCGTTTTCAGCTTCACATCTACTAAAGGATCTTTCCTGCTGTTTAAGAAATGCTACAGTATAATCCAGTTATAACGTACTTTAAGGGACCGGCGTATGCTGTATCCGAAGCACGTTGTAACCAGGGTATGTAAAAATTGACTAAAACCAAGCTCAGATTGTTTTTGATGCTCTGTATCAAAGTTTTCATTCTTTTATTCAATCGTTTCTGTATGGAATAGCCTGCCAGACAGTATTGTGATGCAGGCAAATTCGGATACCTTTTACAACCTATGTCGAAATCACCTCAGTAAATTTTAAAATTTTAATGTTGTAGTTGACTGGGCAGACATTTGTATGACCCAAAGGGTTGTTAAATGTAAATGTAATGATGATGATGACACCTTTTGCTGGGACCAAGCACACCAGTATATTATATCAAAAAGTACGTATTAACCGAATGCGTTATAACGGGATTCTACTGTATTGATTTACTATAAAACATTATTTTAAAAAGAACATTATTCGCTGGTTATTTGATAAATAGAGTCCTGCTCTACGATTTTCGTTAAGAGCATCCATCATTTCATGATAAATAAAAACTGCTTTGGCTACAAAAATAGTATGATATACCTTACACATATTTCACAACTTTACAAGTGCTGCGTCAGAAATATTCCTCTTACAAAAATGTACATTTAGACTTGCTTGAAGATCCACAGGAGACAGAACACTAGTGTTTAGATCAGGTTATCAATAAGCGAGAGACAGAACGCGAGTTCCTGCGGAACTTTCAAGTTCCTGCGGTACTTTCAAGTAGATTTCATTACTGGCTTCACGATACAGTCTGGGACCGCCTTCCGTTCGCTCGCCGCGATGAACCTCGCAGCATATTTCCAGCCATGACTGCAAGCTGAACGTTATGCAGTTTGCTCGCTGCCGCTTCTTTCTGCAGTTGTTCTTCAGCGTCTTCAGCCTTGCATGTTAAAATGCACAATCTGTAGATGAGAAGAGTGCACACAATGGCATTTTTAGCCAAAAAAAGCATGTGCATTTCTGTGATGACCTTAAACTCTACCAACAACACAAGTCTTAAAACAAGAAACGGACCGTCCTGCATCAGCAACGTAACTAAAATCTGAAACAGCTCGCCGTGAAGTTTACGCATTTTCGACTGCTTTCGATCGGCTTCAGCATCAAAAGACTGCGTTGACTTATGAGGAGGAGTCTTCTTTGGTGTCCCTGCACTGTCTAGGCCAGAAAATTTTCGGCCCACTGTACTTATGCGCTTTTGCTGTGACGTGTCGAGAGTCTGGGCTCTTTGCCGTCTTATATTATCAATGTATTGTTCCTTTGCACTCATTTCCTTTATCGTACTGAAGTTATCTCGCACAATTGAGTTGAATGAATATCTTGAAGAGCTAAGCATAGAATCTTTCTTCGCTAAACCAGGTGTTTTTCCTTCTGGTGATACCTGCGTTAAAGAAAAGATTTAATTTAACGCAAATTTCTGGAAAGTGAATATTGAAAAAGATTCATCATGTCATATGATTCTGGGAGCACTCTCTGAGAACGCCTCTTGATTAGAAATGTATCTCGTACCTGATAACATGTCGCAGTACTCAGGGATATTTCAGCACAGTAGCATAAAACAGGCTAGGGCAACTTTATCAAGGCCCCTTAAATTGCTTCTTATCCCTTATTTTAATACTTCGCTCAAATTAATATAGTTTTAAAAAACTTCGTCAACTGCAGCCTCTACAAATCAAGCTCGCCCCAGTAAATGAGAAATATTCTAGTTTAAATGTTTTGATATTGTGTTTTACAGCGCTGGCCGAGATTTTCTTGCAGTTCATAAATGGGTTTTTTTCCGAATCAGTGTTTTTCCTCAGGCACGAGATGTCTCCTTCACATCACTGGTTAGGATTATAAAAATCAGGGTTGCTTCGCTTGCGCTCTTTAAAGAGTGAAATCTTTCTTAGTTTCAATTTCACCTTCAGACAAGAAGTTCACACAAAATGGCAAAAACATGTTCAGAAGCAATCAACTAGTTTATTTTTTATCAGTTTATGATCAAAAGTGGCTGTTTGAATGAAAAAAATGAAATGTAGTGTAGTGTAGTGTAGTGTAGTGTAGTGTAGTGTAGTGTAGTGTAGTGTAGTGTAGTGTAGTGTAGTGTAGTGTAGTGTAGTGTAGTGTAGTGTAGTGTAGTGTAGTGTAGAGTAGTGTTAGTGTAGCGTAGTGTAGCGTAGTGTTGCGTAGTGTTGCGTAGTGTTGCGTAGTGTAGTGTAGTGTAGTGTAGTGTAGTGTAGTGTTAGTGTAGCGTAGTGTTGCGTAGTGTAGTGTAGTGTAGTGTAGTGTAGTGTAGTGTAGTGTAGTGTAGTGTAGTGTAGTGTTAGTGTAGCGTAGTGTTGCGTAGTGTAGTGTAGTGTAGTGAAGTGTAGTTTAGTGTAGTGAAGTGTATTGTAGTGTAGTGTAGTGTAGTGTAGTGTAGTGTAGTGTTGCGTAGTGTAGTGTAGTGTAGTGAAGTGTAGTTTAGTGTAGTGTAGTGTAGTGTAGCGTAGTGTAGCGTAGTGTTGCGTAGTGTTGCGTAGTGTTGCGTAGTGTTGCGTAGTGTAGTGTAGTGTAGTGTAGTGTTAGTGTAGCGTAGTGTTGCGTAGTGTAGTGTAGTGTAGTATAGTGTAGTGTAGTGTAGTGTAGTGTTAGTGTAGCGTAGTGTTGCGTAGTGTAGTGTAGTGTAGTGAAGTGTAGTTTAGTGTAGTGAAGTGTATTGTAGTGTAGTGTAGTGTAGTGTAGTGTAGTGTAGTGTAGTGTAGTGTAGTGTAGTGTAGTGTGGTGTAGTGTAGTGTAGTGTAGTGTAGCGTAGTGTTGCGTAGTGTAGTGTAGTGTAGTGAAGTGTAGTTTAGTGTAGTGAAGTGTAGTAGTGTAGTGTAGTGTAGTGTAGTGTAGTGTAGTGTGTAGTGTAGTGTAGTGTAGTGTAGTGTAGTGTAGTGTAGTGTAGTGTAGTGTAGTGAAGTGTAGTAGTGTAGTGTGGTGTGGTGTAGTGTGGTGTGGTGTGGTGTCGTGTGGTGTAGTGAAGTGTAGTTTAGTGTAGTGTAGTGTAGTGTAGTGTAGTGTAGTGTGGTGTGGTGTGGTGTCGTGTGGTGTATTGCGGTGTCGTGTGGTGTAGTGAAGTGTAGTGTAGTGAAGTGTGGTGTAGTGTAGTGTGGTGTGGTGTGGTTTAGTGTTATTAGATCACACATGACTTACTTTATTATAATGACCAAGATTCATACTGATCTTCCTGTTGGTTTTTGCCTTTTCTTCTTGCTCCTCGACGCCTCTGTCCTTTATCGTTGCTGTTGTCATCAGAGTAAACTGCAATATTGCCCAAGTGTACGCGACAAGGACTGCTAAAGTTATCTGTTCCTTCCCGCTGTCTTTTATCTCTGTCTCAACCTTTAGTTCTGTTGGAGATTAATATAATATGAAAATAGCAAAATATGAAAGCATATCACGACAGTGTTTTTTTCAACTGACGACAGACTTTTTTTATTGCAAAACAAGAAATTTTACCCTCCTAGTTTATCAAAAACCCTCAACATTTCCCTCACTTGCAAAGATCCTGGACCAAAGATCCTGGACCATCTGTGGTTTCCACGAAAAGAAGCAACAGAATTAGAGGACAATGCAAAGACTAACGTCGGATATTACACAATAGATGACAAAATATAACAATGTGCTGTTGATATTTGAGTTAAAGAGTTTTTTCAGTTAGGGCCTGATTATATTATATGAAAGCGGGCTGGCTCGATAGGCGGGCTGGCTCGATAGGCGGGCTAGCTCGTTTACCGAAACAGAATTTACGTTTTTATTATATGTGTAAAAGAGCTGTTTCGGCAAGCAGGCCAGCTCGGCCATACTTGACTGCAAATTACAGTTCTGCGCATTGTATGTGAAAAGGCAGGAATTATAGAATTTAAATGATGCGGCATTACTACAGTTTGTCCAGGAAAGCGACTAGCTTGTATCTTATTACGGACTGGAAAGAAGTTTGGCATATACTCAGATGATTTTCCGTTATGTTTTGTAGCAGCAGCAGCAGATTTACTGACTTTGTCGGCCATTTTGATTTGCCGAATGATGGCTTTCATGCTTCTGACACGTCGATGAAAAGAAACTGCGCATGCTCCAGTGTGTGTTTTCAGCCCGCTCGCCAGGTTGGCTCGGTTTGATGCGATTACATGGAAGCGAGCCAGCCCGTTTGGCGAGCCAGCTCGCTTGTCGGGCTGGCTCAGTTCCATGTAATAACAGCTCACTTTTCATGTGCAACAGACCATAGACGTGAGCTGGCCCGTTTGTTGAGCCAGCCCGTTTGCCGGGCCAGCTAGATCCATATAATCAGGTCCTCTAAACTCAAGTACATTTAATAAGCAAGAAAATATTTCGAGACACCGATGTGCATAGCTTCAATAGAAAGGGAAAGGGTCTGACATTGAGGCAAATAGACTTTGACAGTGTTTTAGACTTATCAACTTACCAACGATGTCTGCAGCAGTACCAACATATCCAATAAGCAATGCCGATAGCTGGTCACGTGTTAATTTGCCACGTGGCATCAGCCATCGCCCAATGATAATGCCAAATATTAGTCCAAGCTCGAATATAAGTCTCCCAACCTTGTCTTTTCCCAACCCAATGAACTAAAATAAGGATTATACATAATCATTTTGGAAAAACTATAAACTTCTTTATTTTGATATATACAGCACATTCCAACAGAAACAGAATAATCTATAACAAAGTTCATGGAAAGCAGACGTTTGAATATACCGTATATTCAAATTCTGGCCACATCTTTCAACCTATATGATATATGTTTAAGCATAAACAAGTAATTGCACGGCATCTCTTATTTTGACTAAAAGAAAATATGGAATGTAGCTGCCTGCTATGTTGTTGATTGCTAAAAAATTTAACTTGACCAATCAGAACATCATCTTGAATAACTAACGGTGCAACACACTGTTGCCTAGCCAATTCTTTGTTGATTCGTGGGAGTTGAAAAGCAAATGCTTCTCTTCTCAGTGGTTTCTCAACACATCAATTCAATTAAGCAGCCTCATTTTCAAACAGTCAGGACGACAGCTTCTCCTGTTGCTAATATAGAGATTCTGACGACAGCTTCGAATCTTTTCACCAGAGTTCCCGCGTTGTCGATTTTATGGGGAAGAGATTAATAAAATAGAACCTGCTGTAGAATAAAAAGGATTAGGGTATATTGTAAAATAAAAAGATGAAGGTATACTCTGCGTATAAATTCCCTGAATTACCCACATGTGCTTGAAATTTGACTCATTCTTGATGCGATGGTATTCCCATCTACATATTTACCTATTTTTCTCTATATATAACTGTTTTTGGAGGGCAATTTACTTACACTGATTGGTGGGTCCTTTGAGGCCAGTTTAATAATGTCTAGCGAAGCCAGGTCAAAGATCCATATCACAGGAATTATTGTCATGATGTAGAAAAACCCACTTGGCCAGAAGCTGAAGGAAAATCAATGAAAGGTTTTGTTAGTCTTAGAATAGATAAGACGAGATAAACAGGTACATGCATTGTACAATGAGCAGTAAATTACGTCACGTGGTGAGAAAACTAACATAAAGCTTATGCTGTTTTCAAGAAAAATCTGGGAAAAATTCTTAAAAATTCCTGAAAATCCTATTGTTCAAAAAGTTTTTTTGCTGTTTGGAAAGAATGATACACTCTCGGCGTAGATTACATCATGGGGGTCTTTCCTATGTGGTTTCTGAAAGAAATTCATAAAATGTAAGAGCGGTGAAGTACAAGTAGCCTCTATCAGCGTAGATTTTGCACGTAACAGAGGATAAGAAACAGGAACCTGTTCACGTGATTATATCTCTGCCAATGTTGGCTGGATTGAACTTTACTTCCATTTGTAAGACTATTTTTTATGTTTTATCAGATTATGTAATCCAAATTAAAAAACATTCATTTAACGTATAGTTTTAAATATTTTATTACGTAACAACTTTATTTATCGGAAAAAAGATAAATTGAACCGTCTCCTTGGAGAGTTCCTAACTGTTGACGTCACAAAAATAAATTTTTAAAACTATTGACTTTGGAGAAACCTGAAACTTGAAAGGGCATCGTGAAATACCTCTGGAATGTGCAAAACCAGTTAAATGTGTCACGAAATGGCTGGGGAATGGCATAGGCTCTTTCCCGCCCCGTCAAACCTCTGCAATTTGGTCTCTGTTCATGGCTTTATAATCAGAGCCAAAATAACAGTAATCCGTTTGCAAACATCAAATGTTTGACTGGTCATATCTCACTCGATTTTGGAGATATTGGCATGATACTGCAGATTTAGAATTATTTAGTAGTATCCTTATATGTTAAATGGTCAAAATTCAAAAACTTTAAACAAATATTTTTTATGACGTCACACTTAAGAAAACTTTTCTCTTTCCTGCATTGTAGTTGTCTGGAAGCACTTACTATTTGTACTCCTGGCCTTTTCTCCACCATAGCGTGTAAATGGTTTCGATAAGTAATGCTGCCATACTGAGTGCCACGATCCAAACAAGTGAGTTCTCAAAGAACAGTGCACCGAGATACACTGCCCAAAAGCCATGCGAAAAGAACAATATTCTAGTACAAAGTGATTTGAAGATTACAATTGCCTCTGCCATGTTTCGTTTGTTTGCTAATCAAAATTTACTTGCTATCTGCACTGCTGCAATTTTTGGCCACTCACAACAATCGCCCGTTTAGATGTAGAGTCAGGTCAGTTTTTTTCAATATCAGTGTCGTATGAGCGGTATTTCAATGCAGGCTTTGAAATCGAATTTTATTAATCTGTATTGTATATATCGGCATCAACAGTGTATCATCCGCAAAGACTTGTGCCATTAATTTCCAAATTATTATCTCCAGCTGCCCTCATGCCTCCATTTAGTTTGCGATTTTCCTTGGCTACGATTCAAGCTCTTCTCTTTGTTGCTGATCTTCGATTCAAACAACCACTAACTTTTGAAGTCAAAACTAGCTTTCGGTATGATCTTGCCAAATTTCTCTTCAAAATTCTTATGTTGACAGCGAGGAATAATCCAAATACTGGTGAAATCCCTTGTCTGTATTTGAGGAAATCAATTCTATATTGTCTATAAAAGCGACGTTTTATTCGAGAAAGCCTTTATTAAGCTCAGAATTCTGAAGTTTGGCAATCAAAGTTTTTATTAGCTGTGTTCACAAAAACAAAAGCGTACAAACGACTCCTCGCCCCGAACAATACTCCTTGATCAAACTTTAGAGGATTTTCATCCTCTTGACAAAACCGTCTCTACAATACTTGCTTGATATAAGTTTCCACGAGAACCACTTCGCTAATACTTGATCAATGATCGACGATTGCTTAGATTAGCCAGGAATCAAAAGACATTTAAAACACTCCAGCTCAACAACAAGCTTCTGTAGTGATGAAAAACAACCATGATATCTGCAATAAGCTGCCTCCAAAAATTGTTTTACTTCGTTGCTTAGAACGCACTTTCACAACACACCTCTGGAAACAGAGCATGTCACGTTTTACCAATAGATTTTCCTTGTGGGACACATTTGCCAATGATTGTGTCCAATGAAGCATTGCGGTGCCTTTGTTATGCCAGTGTCTTGCAAATGAGAAGTAGGTTGCTTCCCCTAAAGAAAATTTGTGAGAAAAATGCAAAGACAATAGGATTATGCATTCTTATTCAATTCCGCTTTTTATGAAACATTTTCTATTGAAATCAGATTTCCCTTTCGGGTCATTGCTCGCTGATAAAAGCTGAGCTGTTATTTTTTGGGATAAAATACCGACTGGTGTTTATGTAGAAAACAGTAACAGCAAATGCCATAATTTGTGCATATTTTTATAAGCAACACAGTACTCAAACCGTTGTAGAAAGTTTCAAATTTTTGACCTAAAATCACGAAAATACTATCCGCGAAACTTCCTAGAATACGAAATTTGCTAAAGTCTTTTTGCGCGAAATATCTAAAGAACTTTACTGCTCAGCCTCTTGGAAGCTTTGACGAGGAATCATTTTTTCACGAAGATTTAATTTTTTGTTGTTTATTGTTAATAAGTGGAATAAAATAGAAAAAGCCTCAGTTGCATAGCAATGTCTTTGGCGCAAAATTTTGGCGTTTGTTTTGCTAAAACGCAAAAGTATATTCTCGCGAAAGAACGCATTCCCTTCTTTCGCAAAAGTTAATTCAAAAATATTCGTGCTTTTCTCGATTCATGAAACATTCTTCCTGTTAACCATTTTTCTCTCAAAGTGGGTTTGAAGACCAAACATTAACTTGTAAAATGATAACATTGGAAATAGCTATAATGTTAAATAACCAAATTGAAATTACAGGAAATGAAAAAAGATAGTAATATTTATGAAAAGTATCTACTCAGTGGGGACATCTGTAAAGCAGTTGATGTTAAAACCTTTGAAGATATACCTTGCGAGGGAAATAAACCAATCTGTTACTTTTCAGTATCACTTGCTTTTTAATGTTTTAAAACAGAAATTTCAATATGCTGTTTTCACAATTCTTCTTCTAAGTAGTTTTTCTAAAAAGATTTTAAAGATTTTAGAATATTACATTTTGAATATTGCATTGTCTGGCTATTATAAAAAATATTAGATGAATTCGATTATATTAATTCTATTGACAGAAATTGTGACGGGGAGGTGCGCGTGATTTTAACAACTTCAATAATTTATGCGATTGTTTCAATACTTCAACCGATTCACAAGGATATCTTACAGTATAAATTAATTGTGATCTGTTTGCAACATAAAGGCTAAAATGGGCTTCAGTTTAATCCAGTTAAAAGCAGGACTCACATTATTGTTTTTCCAAAAACGTGATTTTCATTCAAGAGCGGGTTATGCTCCTGAAACAATATCAGATTTTGTTTTCTGTGAATTTTTTTGCGTTGGCAACGATAGTTCATTATGCTTTTTCATGGCCCTTCCCTGTTAAATGTTAAATGTTTGTCCAAAGTTTGCTTGCATTAACAAGATACGTGGTTTACACAGGGACGCCGGAGTCGATAGTTTTTACATTTGCAAAAATTGATCATAGAATTGGAATCTTCATGTTAAATTTAGTCTGTGCCGATAATTTCATGTTGTCAGAGCTGTCAGGCAGCAAATTACCCCATTTTCAATGGAAATTGTTGCTGTTGCTCCCAATTTGCCCAACTACAGCAGCAAATTCCGGTTAAAACTAAAGAAATATCTAAATATTTATGTAACTCGCGAGCAAAAAGTCCAAACGACATGAGGTTTTCAGTATAAGCTAAATCCAAGATGAAGATTTCAAATATAAAATTCATTCTAGAAAAAGGCCCGTAGATAGTGAGATGCAAACTTTTTGACATAAATAACTTCAGTCCTCTTTTCCTCGTTCCGTGTTTCCGTACACGACAGCTATTCTGCGAATCTATTGAATGAGTTACCATTTTGGTATTGCAAGATGCAAGTCCATTTTCAACCAACTTTACTTTGAGCCCTTGAAACTTGACTAGGTTACGCTTCAATATATTTGCCCTTTTCTTTTGAATCATTTTCAAATTCTGCTTGGCTATTTGAAGAACGTGTCAACAATATTTGAGCTGTGAACAAAACACGGAACATCGCGTTTCAGCGTTACATTTAATTGTCTCATTATTAATTGAAGCTGTTGTTTTGGTGTGACATCAGTTACTAAGCTCGTCAAGTACCGGCCTTCAACCAGAGTTTGATATTGACACGTTAAAATGGGTTTTTTTAAACTACGTCAAATTTTGAATCTGCAATTCCGCACTTTGATGAAATTCTACAATCATTGAATTTGGCGGTAAATACACACCATAGACCGGCTACAGCAGAAGTTTTTGAATACAAGAATTGGAATTGAATTTGTCATTCAAAGCGATTTTTCTGTAGGCTTTGAACACGGATGTTGTTGAAGAAATAAATAAGAAATAAGAATTGGGGGTGACTATATCATGAAGATAGGGGAAGGAGTGTCAAAAACCAGCCTTGCCATGAATTTCCGGGGAATGCAGGGAATTCACTTCCAAATTTGGCATTTGCACGCAGTACGTCCCTTACATAAAACTTCCGGGTATCTTTTCTTACTCCCGCCCGCAGTTGAGCATCAACCAGTAATCGTGTTTAACTGCGTCAACCTGAGTGGCACGTTTCTGAGGGAAATCAATCCTTTTAATGCCAGTATTTATTATCGTTTTTCATGCAGTTGTCTTTTTCAATTTGGATAGCCAGCTTTACTTTTTCTTCTGAATATGAAAAAAAAACCATTATGAAAATTAAGTCGTGGGTACCGAAAGGTATTTTAGAGTAAATTGACAAATACTGAAGTGGCTGCAGCCAGCTGTAAACCAATTATTGCCCAATCAACGATTCTTGAAGTGTCTGTCTGGTATTACACTTATTTTCCTTTCACTAGAAACAATAATGAAAGTGCTGTAGCCATTTAAGTTAAACAATAAAATTTCTAGCTTCTTTGCAAACATCCAAGTTCGAAATTTTGCTTCATTTCATATATGTTTATTTCTCTTTTTTTACATTCCAATAAAAATTTACAATACAAATTTACTAGTTATACTACCTACAAAATACTTAACGACGCTACGAGGACGATGCCACTGGGTGCAAAGTACCTTGATTACTCCGTGGCATCACGAAAAACTGAGACAAATTACATATGAATTACCAAAAATTTACAAAGAACACTACTCTCTCTCTCTCAAATTAGATATCAGGCGAAAAATGTTAGCGAATAACAACAGACAAGATGTTTGCTGCAGTTTCAGTAATTTTGCCTTATCACAGATCTCACCTCGTATATAATTTGAAACAGACTTTACATATTATATTTAACTAAGTAATTGTTGGCTTATTAGAGGTGGAGGGGGTGAGATACTTTATTCAAAGCGGCCAGTAGAATGTACAAAACGTATTGTTAACTCAAGGATGTTTCTATTGAGATGGTTTGGAAAATTCTTATCGCCACACAATAAGATTTGCAACAGAACATCATTTGCAAGATTGTCATATCCATATGGTCATACAAGCAGAGACGTCGGAGCAGGGGGGCAGTGCCCTTTTGAAGAAAATAACAATTTTAAATACAGTCAGTTATTATCTAAAGATTTAAAGTTAACCACAATTTCCGACGGAAAATATAGACAAAATGCACACAAATACATTCTTATTTTTTGTTTTTGTTGAAAATTGAAAGTACTTTTCAAACATTGGCTGTTTATTGCCTGCTTGTTCCAACTGGGGTAGCATAACCCCAAATTCCCCTGTGAAGGTAACCTTACGGCGCACATATGCGCCGATCTAGCCACTGATGATGCCCTTTCTAAATTTAGGCCCCCTCTTCCCCTTAATTATGTTTCCGGCGTCCCTTCGTACAAGAGTGTATATTCCAGCGAGGAGATCAGTTCTTTGTACACCTAAAGAGGGTTCATATATGTTCATAAATGTTCATATATGTAGCACACATATTTGCATCAGTCCCTCAAAAATACTGAGGTAATGCACACTTTTTTGAACAGTGCTATTGATATACATTTCGTTTTCTATTACGATTGTATAGCAGCAACTTTATTTCTATCCAGTCCTTCATGTTGGCCGGCCACAATTTTCATTCGATTATCTTTTCATGTAGCGTTACAATTATTTCTCTGTCCTGCAACTTCAAATAGAGATAGATTTCTGGATTCCATAGTATTTTGAAGGTTGTATTCATTGATAATTTTGGATAGAGTTGAAGATTGACATTGTAATTTGAAATAAGCAGTTCCTCATTCTTTGCTCAAAGTTCTAAATAGAGAAAGCTTCATTTTTAATATGTTGTAGGAACTAAATAGAAACGCGTTCATTTAAAACCAAAGTAATTTTAATTTGTGGCGACAAGGGGCCTTTTTTTGCATCGCCAATGCAGAAATATAAGTTTTTTTTTATTCCAATATAATGCCCAGCTGTAAGCTTCCAGTGGTACACAATCACGGTGTCAAAGACTGCAAACGGACTTTGCTGACCAATAACACACATCTGCAGCTCCTATACTGAACTTAGAATGTATTAAATGCTCATTTCAAATAATCCTCAAGCTGCAGAAGTTTGCAGTTCTTTCTTTTTCTTCTTAAAGTTGTCGACAGTTATAATCATCTTCTTTTCTTAATGGGCAAGATTTTGTTTTGCGCCAAAAATTTTGAGATGAGAGAAGCAAACTTTTGATCTTTGATCTTTGATCTTTGATCTTTGATCTTTGATCTTTGATCTTTGATCTTTGATCTTTGATCTTTGATCTTTGATCTTGGATTTTGGTCTTTCATTTAAGTCAATCATATTCTATTACTTTCCAAAAAATATCACAGTAAGGAATTTGCTGTCTGTAATTCGTACGCAGTTGTTTCAAATTGCTATAAAGGGTTGTTTTGATCAGTTTTTTGCTTGCAAGCTTCCTTGTGATTACGCTGCCATCCAAACCCTTGGCAAAATGCATTCAAAAGTTGTTGCTAAAGAACAGTTCAAAAACTGATAAGTCTCACATTTGATTTGATTTTTTTAAATGTAATGTTTAGTTAACATACAAAATAGCGTCAGAGCTCATAAAAGCGATGGACGACACTGGACTAG